AAATCTGGTCAGATCTCATTCCAGCATATCACTCTTCTGTTGTCCAAATGGTATGGAAATATTGTATATAACCAACGATACAACCATTCAACTATTCCAAAGTACCTTTTCACCGATCCAATCGCCCCACAGAATCTCCCATGACGCCGCTCCCGTCTCTTATCACGACATCAGCAGCAAATGAGGAAATTCCTTATCATTCGCAAGCCAGGGGTGTCTTTGTGTGAAAAAAAAAAATTTAACAGTTTCTGTCTCTCCAATTTGACTGATCTGAGACCTGTATTTGGTTTCTTTTGTATGCAGTATTTTGCGACATGACTGATAAATCGGATTTCAGCGCTGTGGCATACAGAGGACCTGTTCAGGATGGCGCTACGAAAAGCTTGCGATCGGAGGAGATAAACAGATCAGATGAAGAGATTGCGACAGATCCTATGTCTGCACCATTAAAGCGGCAGCTCAAGTCTAGACATCTACAGATGATCGCTATTGGAGGTGAGTTTGCGGTCGCATTTAAATATACACCAGTTGGAATTGACCAAAGTATTCCCAGGCATTATCGGTCCTGGTCTACTGGTGAGCTCGGGCAATGCGCTGCACGAAGGTGGACCCGCAGGATCTTTGATCAGTTTCTCGCTGGTCGGCATTATTGTCTTCTTCGTCATGTAAGGAGTGCATTTTCTAGTCTCAAGAATGATTCTAATGGTTATAGGCAATCGCTGGGTGAAATGGCCACACTTCTTCCCGTGACTGGATCGTTCACGGAGTATGCGGAGCGCTTTATTGACGACTCTCTTGCATTTGCGCTGGGGTGGGCGTATTGGTACTTATGGGTGACTGTACGGCATGCATTGAGGACTCGAGTAGGAAGGATCTCTTACTAACACGACACTCCAGGTTCTCGCAAATGAATACAACGCGATATCACTGGTCATTGGCTACTGGACAGATGCCGTGCCTCAATGGGGCTGGATCTTGATCTTCTGGGTGATGTTCCTGACCCTATCAAATCTCGGAATTCTAGCCTACGGCGAGATGGAATTTTGGCTATCTCTGTAAGCTCCGCGTGCTTAGATTTGAAGCATCGGATTGTCTAACAGACTGCAGTATCAAGGTATTGGCTTTGATTGTCTTTTTCATTCTGGCAATTATCATCAGTGCAGGTGGGATTGGACCACGCGCTATTGGGTTTGAATATTGGCATGATCCGGGGGCATTCGCAGATTCAATTAATGGTGTGGCAAAGACCTTTGTTGTTGCGGGCACTTTGTATGCTGGGACTGAAATGTATGTTTCTCAATACCGGAGATGGCGGGAAATGGCCCGAGCTAACAGACAAATTAGGGTTGGCATCACCGCCGGAGAATCGGCGAATCCCCAAAAAGCAGTACCCAAGGCTATCAGGCAGGTCTTTTGGCGTATCCTGATCTTCTACGTTGGTAAGTTCATATTGAAACAGAAGCCCGGAGCATTACTGAACTCTATCCAGGAACTATCTTCTTCATTGGAATGCTCATTCCATGGAATGACGACAGATTGTTGGGCAAGTCGTCGAAGACAGCCAGCTCTCCCTTGACAATCTCGTTACAGGATGCTGGGATCCTCCCAGCTGCCCATCTCATTAATGCGCTGATTGTGATCAGTGTCATTTCTGCAGGAAATAGCTCGCTCTATGTGGCATCTAGAACTCTGCTTTTCATGTCCCGTAACGGAAAAGCCCCAAAATTCATTGGCCGGACAAATCGTCTCGGAGTCCCGTGGGTGGGCTTGGTGTTTACCAACATCTTCGCATGCATTGTTTTCCTCAGGGCAGTCTGATAGTGCTGGGAGGGTTTACTCGGCGTTGATCACCCTTTCAGGGGGTATGTTTCCCTTCCTGGGACATTCCTAGAAACATCATTGTTCAATGCTAACGAAGTACAGTTTCTACCTTTATTGTTTGGTCGGTAATCGGAGTTGCGCATATTCGATTCCGAAAAGCCCTGGTCGTGCAAGGCCAAGACCCATCGAAGCTCCCATACCAAGCTTTCCTCTACCCATGGGGCACCTACCTCTCACTGGCAGCAAATGTGTTCCTCATTTTCTTCCAGGGGTACACTTGCTTCCTCAACCCCTTTAGCTCGACTGACTTCGTGATCAACTATATCCTGCTCCCTGTGTTCGTGTTGTTTGTGATTGCGTACAAGTTCTGGAATAAAACCAGTCTCGTCCGTCTGGAGGATATGGACATCTGGACCGGGCGACGGGAGCAAGTCGATTTCGAAGAGCCCGAGTCACCGAAGAAGGCCGCCAAATGGTGGTCTCGCATTTATTCTGTTGTTATAGGGTAGACCAGTTGCCCTCCGTCTTATACTATACCCATCCATGCACAATGCCAAGATACCTTCGGTTATATTCAGCCGTGGCAAGTACCATGCAGGCTAGCATGTGACACAATTGGACCTAATCTACCATGTAAATAGTAAATTCTGAACACAGTTCTATGCGAATGACAACGGAAAACCAAGAAACAAAACATGCGGTCGAGTCAGCACACAGCGGGCCAGAGGTGATAGTTTAAGAGATCAGCACGGAGACCGTCGGAATGCGGGGACACGTGAGGGGAAAACAATATATGCGAAGCGCAATAGCAAAGTATCCTATCTTGACAAGGAACGAGGTTGAAATTTGGTCTCAGCCTTCACAACCCACTGTATGCTCGCTGTTTACTCGAATTTCAACCAGGTCTCCCCACATGGCCAGCTGAGTAATGGACCATTGGATCAACATCGTGGCCGACGGTTGGCGCCATGATTGGCCCGAGGGGAGTGAGACCCTCCTAGTCTCGGCGCATGGGTCTAAAAGAAAAGCCCCATCACTAAATAGCCCCCCGCGTTGCCGATCACCTTCTCAGCTAGGGGTGTCTTCAGGAATCCGAAGTCCTGGCACCACTCGATTCTTCACGCTGTCCCCAATCGGCCAATCGGGACTATCTTGTACCTCGCCTTGGCTTCTATACTTCAAGGCCGCTGGTCGGTCATGGTTCCCCATTCGGTATGGTGGTCGTGAATTGGTGATTTGGACTTGCAGCAAACAGTTGCCAATTAGAGACCGAGACGGCTGGATGCACAGAATGTAACGTCGCGTAGATAGCGAGTAGATGCTCTTTATACCGCGAAGAGACCTCCTGCAAGATATATTTAAACAAACACATTTCCCATAGATATTGGAGGTCTACAAGTCAAGAAATATCCATAACCGGCCAAGCACTCAAACTTGCTAGTCCACTATATCGCCAAAATGCAGTACAGCAAGGTAATATCACCTATTCCAGATCAACAGCACCAACCTTTAACACCAACCTCAGATCCTGGCTGTGGCGACCCTATTCATCTCCAGTGCCTTCGCCGCCCCGTTGGACGTGGAAGCTCGCGCATGTGCTGCGACTTGCGGTTCAGTCTGCTACACCAGCAGTGCCATCAGCGCCGCCCAGGAAGCCGGATACGATCTCTACAGCGCGAATGACGATGTCTCCAACTACCCTCACGAGTACCACAACTACGAGGGTTTTGACTTCCCCGTTTCGGGAACCTACTACGAATTCCCCATTCTCCGCAGTGGTGCGGTCTACACTGGTAACTCTCCTGGTGCGGACCGTGTTATCTTCAACGACAACGACCAGCTAGCCGGCGTTATTACTCACACTGGTGCTAGCGGTAACAACTTTGTCGCATGTGACTAGATAATGAATTGGATGTGGATATGATATTTACAATTGAGAATATATATTTCTTGATGTTCGAAATATACGTATGTGAATGTAGGAGTCCTCCTTATCACGTAGACAGACTGCTCAAACTGCCTACATGCTGTAACGGTCTCCGTTGCTCTAGGTATCTAGAGGCATACAACAATCGACACCCCCACATTTTGCGAGAATGTGAGAACTTGTCGTTGTCGGGTGTGATACCCAATAGTGGTAGAAGGGGGGGGTTTGAATAATAAACAAACCGGAGTACGTACAAACTCCGTGGACATAAAACTCTGAGTTATCGCTTTTTCTGTTTTCTTTCTGTTTTCTTTGTTGTCGGAACCCAGCGGATGCACATTAGCTCGCAAGTGTCGACAAGAGCTGTAGCAGAGTTGATTGAAAGCTGATGCCTGCCTAGGCGATATGGAAGATCAGCATGTCACGCGGGTAAGTGCAATGGAGATATTGTGTTTGTAGGATTGAACATGGACAAGGAGGAAAAAGAAAAGGAAGGAAAGTGCGGAGGCATGTACTTGTATATGAGCATCCCGTGTCACTCACGAGTGCGGGGTTGTTTACCCTTAGAAAGACAGACCATTTCGAAGGGAACTAGTACTGGGTTAGTTCTTTCCACTTATTCACCATGTGGATTCAGACTGGAAGGAGTAGACTTGAAGTACTACAATTTTAAAGTATAACGAGTACGGAGTATACGGGTATGATTTCCGTCACTCCAAACATTAGAACCATGGAACTTGCCCAGGGTCCCAGAGAGAAAGGCGGTCTCTGAGGAAGGTACCCTAGAAAGGCATTCTTCCACATCTGAGCACCTGCCTACGTACATACCATATGTACATATGTACATATACATATGTAGGTACCGAGGTATTTTCCTATCTTCATCTCAATATCTTTGCCAAGATCTTCCAGGTTGGGGGACATGGTTCTGACGGAATAATATAAATCCGATAATGCAGGGGCCCTCGGCCCTAAAAATGCCCGAGCCCGAAGATTATTAATGTACACTGCTAACCTTGGAAGGTACCTTCCAAGATAGGTAAGAACATTTCGGACGGACAACGGACGAAGCTTTGAAAGACAAATTGTTACAAATCCGTCAGCTTGTATCCATAGCGATTGATAATGGGAATTGCGGAGAAGCAACGAGCAGATGTCAACTGAACAAATTCAAACCTATAAAATGGAAACCCGTCGCTATAAATATGAACACAGTCATTATTCAAGCGTCACTCACAATTGAATCGCAACAATGTCATCCGCAATCAAACCCATTCAGCTCTACGGTGGCATCTTTGGCCCCAACCCCCTAAAAGTCGGAATTATCCTCACACTCCTCGAAGTGCCATTTGAATCCCTTCCAGTCCCCTTCGCCAAGGTCAAGGAACCCGAGTACGAAGCAATAAATCCAAATGGACGGCTACCTTCGATCCATGACCCAAACACCAACCTGACCATTTGGGAGAGTGGCGCCATCATCGAGTACCTCATAGAGCGCTATGACACCAAGGAACCCCGCAAGCTCAGCTTTACCCCGGGCAGCGCAGAAGCCGAGCTTGCACGCTCGTTCCTCCACCTCCAGGTCTCTGGTCAAGGGCCATACTACGGACAAGCCTATTGGTTCAAGATTTACCATGCGGAGAAGATCCCTACTGCAGTGAAGCGCTATGTTGACGAAGCAAAACGCGTGACGGGCGTGCTTGACAAGTGGTTGGGCAAGCAGAAGGAGGCCAATGACAAGAACGCTGGGGATGGTCCCTGGCTGGTCGGAAACAAGATGTCGTACGCTGACATAGCGTTCATTCCGTGGCAAAAGGGGGCCCATGCTTCATTCCAAGATGAAGGGTTTGACGTTGATGAGTTCCCAAATGAGAAGGAGTGGTTTGAGCGCATGATCTCGAAGGAACCCATCAAAGCTGTTCTGGCTTCTGCGGATGAGCAGATGGCCAGTATGAAACACTGATGGGTTGAGACTTCTATGGACTTATGATTCGAGTATCAATGTAATTATACCGCGACAGATCAATGTAAGCAAATGCAAGGTTCCGGTTAACACAACTGTGTCATAGTAACTTGTATCCTTGTTCTGTATTTGCCTTTTCTTGAATTAGGCTCGGAGAAGATGAGACTAGCACCCATGGATATGCACAAACAGAAATGAAAAACATCATCCCAAACTCATCAGCAGATTGCAACCACCGTTCAATCTTCTCCCGCCGTGCCTCTGTTCCAGTCTCAGCAGACCTCCACAGCTCCGATATCTCGAGCATCCCATCCTCCCAGCGAGACAAGTGCCGGTTGTATTCTCTTTCCCAAACGGCGCGGTCTGAAGCTTCCCAGAGCATTTTGCTTCCCGGTGCCAGGGTCACTCTCCGTTCTTCAGCAACAAAATTCGGTAGTCCGACTTGCGTATTGTAGACATTCTTGAAGAGATACATGGTAAAAAGGGTACGACGCTTGGCGCAGGCGACGATCCATGACTCCCAGGTCGGCCGAGTGTGGGATTCTTCTGCTCTGCAGGTGAGACCTGCTCTGGCGGATCGGAAAGCAGTTTCTTAAATTTTTGTCTGGGTATCAAAGGGGGTGAGGCTTTCGAGGGTGTCTGTACGAGGAAATAAATGGATCGTCATGGAGTAGATGAGATACGCCTGGAATGAACATAGGCTATCAAAGTCGCTTCGAAGGGCATCCTGTGTACTATTAGGTTGAAATGCAACGGATAATAAAGTGTCGGCATACCTGGGTTTCAATATTCATCTCCTTTCGCATCGTCACGAGAATCAATGATTCGCACCCAGGAATCCGAGTCAACCACGCCCGAACCAGCAACACATTTTTGGCATGCCTTTCTTCGTGAAGTGCGAGGGAGTCGAGACGAACCAGGGGTTGCTGGTGTCTGAGATTTTCATTTTGAAGATGAAATGCCATCGGAGAGAATTTCGGAATTCCGTAAAAGTTTCGGAGTTCCGCACTAAGCCAAGCAATGAAGTCATCCCATCTCGGCACTTCTCAATGCTACTAATAGAAATGTTGTCTAGAACCATAGCCAGGCAGAAACACACATTGTCTTCAGTTCAGCTATTTGCATATCTCAAATATTTGCTGTGCTACATTAAAGCCAGTTTGGACTATTTAGCTGTTTTTCCTAGTTAAGTCCTTTTTGAATTCATGGTCACTGCCTAAAGCTTCACAGATGCTCATGGAAGTGCAAGAAAACAATCAAATGCCATAAGTTGAAGGTGTTGGATTAACCTTGAACGGCGTGAACACCTGAACCTTATCGAAGATCATTCCGGAATTCCGAACCACCTCAACTATAAAATCCCCTGCTGGTGCCGATCCAACTTAACACAACTTTCAACCAAAGCAACAATTACCACTCCCATCACAATTCATTAAGTATGCCTCAAGTTTACACAACAGATCACTCAACCTCAGTGCTCCGCACCCACAGCTGGCGCACAGTCTCCAACTCCGCGCCATACCTCCTTCCACATTTGAAACCAGACATGAAAATCCTGGATGTAGGTTGCGGACCTGGCTCAATCACAATTTCCCTAGCGAAACACGTCCCATCCGGACATGTCACCGGCGTGGAATACGTGCCCGACCCACTAGCCAGTGCGCGTGCCCTTGCGCAAGCGGAAGGCGTGTCAAATATTACGTTCCGAGAAGGAGACATCCACCACCTGCCATTTGAGGACAACACCTTTGATATTGTACATGCGCATCAGGTCCTACAGCATATTTCTGATCCAGTTCATGCGCTCAAGGAAATGCGGCGAGTCGCTAAGGACGGCGGTATTGTTGCATGTCGCGAGTCGGCGGAGTTGAGCTGGTATCCTGAGTCTGTGGGGATCGCTAAGTGGCGCGAGGTTACTGAACGCATGCAACTTGCCAAAGGTGGCAATCCACACCCTGGGAGGATGATTCATGTTTGGGCACGGGAGGCGGGGTTTGACAGTGGGAGTGTGAAGAGGAGTGCGGGGGCTTGGTGTTTCGGAAGTGATGAGGAGAGGGCGTATTGGGGTGGTTCTATGGAGGAGAGAGCTAGATCCTCTGGTTTTGCGAAGAATGTTGTTGAGGAGGGATTTGCAGAGCCTGAGGATTTGGAAGTGATCGCAACGGGGTGGAGGCAGTTTGTGGATGATGAAGATGCCTGGTTTGGCTTGTTGCATGGGGAGATATTGTGTTGGAAGTAAAATTGAACAAGGGTTGTCTTTAAAAGATGATTCGGCATTTGAAAAAAATGACAGAGAAATATCTCAATGCAATGTTAAGGAATAGCAAATGTAATAATGTTAGACCTTCGAGAAATGAAACCCTCAATCCTGTAAATCTTCGAGAAATGATCGACTGATGAGAGACCTTCAAGCAACAGCCCATGGGCGGAGACAATCACCAACCACCATCAATCACTGTGATCGGACTCATAGGCCTCTTGTGCCTCCTGTTCATCCTCGCGGCCCTGCTCGTAAGCTTCTTCGATATCTGATTTGTCCGAGTCCTCGCCTAGAGAGAATAATCAGCATGTGCAAAAACAAAGCAGGTCAATCAGAGTAGAAGAGATCACGTACCAAGCTCATGTCCAATGACAGCACCGGCAATACCACCGACAGCCAAGCCAGCAGCACCGGCTGCGAGATACTTCCCAGTATTGCTGCTCTTCTTCTCTGGCTCCTGCTGCTGATAGTAGCCAGGGCTACGATCATCGTAAGGCACAGGTGGAGGGCCCTGGGGAGGCGCATAGTATCCACCCTGAGGCTCGGGAGGAGGAACGCTGCGAGAACCATCATCGTACCCAGAGTATGCGGGCTGTTGGTAAGGCGTCTCCCACTGGGAGCGACCAGTGGCCTGTTCTACGAAGAATGCGCGACGGGTATTGGGCTCCCATTCCTGGACCCAGCCCTGTGGCAGGGGAGGCGGGGGACCTGGAGGGGGACGGGCTAAAGGCGGGGGTGCACTGTATGGGCCCCGGTCATATGCTGGACGACCTCCGTCGTAGGGGCGGTCATATCCATCTTGGGGAGGGCGTGCATACGGATCAGAAGGTGGGCGCCCGTAGGGGTCGTATGGACGGTCTGGGGGAGGGCGAGCGTAAGGATCGCCGTAAGGTGGAGCATAAGACATAATAAGTGTGGGTATGGAGAGATGAAGCAGGAAAGAGAAAAGAAATATAACCCAGAAAGAGGGGAGAGCAGAGGGCTTTTATGGGAAAGAAGCGCAAAGAACACCGTTGTAGACCATCACCTTCCGATCAGAACCGAACGAGACAACTCCACAATCTGTCCAACACTAGAATTATGCCCCCACTTCTAAGGAGTTACATGTTAGCGCCCAAGTCAATGTCTGCTCCGATTAGGCAGATGTAATATAAAGGCTCCACGAGCCCCTGGAGTCGGCAGGATCGTCAGATTGACAATCCCATCGCCTTGCAGGGCTAGCCAGTCAAATGACCAATTCGATTTCAACATGCCAAGTGGCCCTGGTTCAATGTTAGTGTGTCACAATAAGCCATATACCCGTACGGAGTATACACACGGAGTACATGTACGGAGTAGAGGGGTTGCATTACAGCCAGACCAGGAGCGACTTTGCTCCACCCGGGAGCTTGACTATTTGTTTCCACGGTTTGACCTCGGGACATTGGTATAAAAAGGGGTCTATCTATTGGTAACGATGTACAAATAATAAAAAAATAGGGGTTATATTGCCCGCAGTGGAGAGTTCCCCTCTATAGGGGGGGGTTATGAAGGGTTGCGGGATAAAATCAACCTGTCGTGTGCCACTCATGTCTCTGCGGAGCCACGATGTGGCTCAGGCAACCGCATTACGGAAAACACAGCCACTGACTGTCACACACGTGGCTGGTGGATATAGGGATTGGGGCTTGGCACCTTTAGTACTTCTACAAGGAGGTGCGTGCTCCGACAAAACTAGTCGCAAATGGTTTCATAGATATTGAAACGCCAAATCAGTATACATATGGCTAACGTTGGTAGGTTGGAACCAAGGGCGCTATCTACTAATGTAGCTAGAAATGTAAATTGACCTACGGATGTTTTAGGTTCCTACGAGACGAGCATCCGGTGGATACGATACGTATGTTCAACATGTACATACGCGCCGGCATCCGAGCGCGGACTTTTGGCTAAAATAATGCGCGGAACAAGAACAGCCTGGACCCAATCGACCGAGGCCACACGGGGACCGTGACGATCGAGCACATGGGGCATTTCCTCATGATGCATTCGATGAGCCGTGCTAGAGCAGTTAATATATAGAATATATTCAGGTATACCGGCCAGCAATATGGGAAGTACCTTTCGGAAATGTACATCGAATATATCATCCTAGCCCAAACTACATGCACTACCAACTTGCCTTACTAGAGGAGCAATAAGAGATCGTTCGAGGGAAGCGTGGTATCCTCAAATGGTATCTAGGCATATACCTATAGAAAAAGTTGGAAGTCGTTTCACAAACTACAACATAAGCCTTTTTCGGCCCTTTTCTGCTCTGTACCCAAGAAACTGAAAGGGGGAGAAAATATCTATATAACCAGACATGTAAAAAGACTATCGGAGAAGACTACCCGATAAGATCACTGAGACGGCCGACTATTCTGGTAGTTGTGTAGTTATGAATGGCATTCTATCTAGCACTCTATCTAGCACTAGCAATCAAAGGAGACCAACCGGCGAGCAGACCTTTATGGTGGAAACGATCCAGGCTCAACATCCCATTATTGGTCCAGGACTATGCGCCTGAGCCTGCAATAACACTTGATTCCGTACTGCGCGGGTAGAAGAATGCAGATAGGCTGATGAAAGGGTTAGCACAGTGAAGAGTTATCGACGACAGGGATAGACTCACGCAATGATGATATAGGCTGCAATTAGGAGGACGCCCTCTAGATAGTTGCTTCGGCCGTCCAAGACGAGGAAGTTGACGACGAAGGTGGTGACAAATAGACAAATAGTCTCGAAGAGTGTAAAATACAGAGACATGTCTTTGTCCATACACCAGCCCAGGATGACGACCAGCGGTGTAACGAAAATAGCTATTGGAACGGTCAGAATGCGCATCCGTACAAACGTCACCAGCAACCTTGGAATGGAGTCTTACCAATTTGAATACTACTGCCAACGGACACACCAATCGACAGGTCCATCTTGTTCTTGGCGGCGACACTGACGGCAGTAACGTGCTCAGCTGCATTGCCGACAATGGGCAAGATAATGAGACCAATGAAAGCTTCACTGACGTCTGAGCTTGCAATCATCTCGGGAATAGCGTCAACCAAGAACTCAGCACAGACTGCGACCAAAGCAGTGGACAGCAGGAGCATGACAACAGCAGCGGTACGTGACATCGTGGGCTCCGGGGCTTGAGAAGCTGTCTCCGGACCTACATCATTCTGTCCAGTTAAACGAGAAGCACCACGAGCAAACTGCACTGCGTTTCCGGCCGGCGGAGGACGACTGATGCGTGCGGGGAGCGAGTTGCTGCGAGAAATTCCCGGGCGTGAGGCAGTTGTCCCTATACGTGGTGAAACCGCTGGTGACTGGGAGCTGAAAACCGTGTTGGAAAGTAGAGACGGAATGGGTCCGAAAGGAGAACGTCGTTTCGGAGGATCATCCCGTGCGCCTTCACAGCCAGCTTGACCGGACGAGGGGCCGCTATCCTCGGGCTCCACAATCTGAGCCTTTTTCTCTGCTTTCTGGGCCTTGCCCCGCTTGTGATCCCGTTTCTTCGACTTGTGACTCGCTCTGCTGTCCATACGACCCAGGGCCAAACCGAAGTCGCGAGAACGGATTGCGGAAGAGAGGTGAACATCATCGTCAGCATCGTAACGTATTTCGTCACTAAGTTCAATGGCGTGTTCATGGCTGGCAACGGAATTGGCGACGGAACCCTGATTCTCGTTGGAGGCCGATGCCATAGCCTTTTTCTGGAAGGAGCTACGAGATGTGGTCCCTTTCGAACTTGTACTTGACTTTCGGCGCCTGCGATACTTCATTGCTCTTTTGATCCGTTTGGCAGTAGTCCAGGAAGCCGTAGTGTCATCCGACTCATCGCTGGACCTAGACGAAGAGTCCGAAGAGCTGTTCATAAATTCTGCCAAGACGCCAGGTTTGGATTCCTCGTCGATGATGGCTTGGGGGATACTGGCGTAGAGATACGAGTGTGTTCTCAGCTGGAAGATGATGTAGAGAATATACACCAGCAGAAGAACAACACTGGTACCGCGGCTGACTTTGAGCGTCTCGCGATCGGCATTAGAGCCATCTGACCACGAGGCGTGGAAAGCAGTCGGCAAGAGAAGACTGACCACACTCAAACTAAGTAGACAAGCACTCATCTGAGTGACGGTACTATTGTAAATCTGTTCTCGAAAGCGAAGACCACCAGCGAGGAAAGCCATGCCCATGATCAACAGCAGATTGGCAAGAATTGAGCCGAGAAGAGAAGCTTGAACGATGCGAATCTCATTCTTGACCAGAGCGATGATGAAGATGATCAATTCGACTGCATTTCCAAAAGTGACGTTGATCAAAGCTCCAATGGTGTCACCAAGGCGACTGGCAACACTCTCCGTGGCATGACTGAGCAGTCCAGCCAGGGGAATGATAGCCACTGCATTCATCGCGAAGATTATGGCTGGGTCGAGACCCGCGGCCTCGCAGGCGATACCCACCGGTACGAATATCAGCAGGACATTAATCCAGCTGTGGCAGATAGCCTCCGTAGTATGGCGGTAGAAGCGGCCGGAGCCATTTCGCATACGGATCAGAAGACCCGGCTTTGAGTTGGTTTCCGAGACGGACCCTGGAGTAGGGTCCTCCACCTGCACATTCACTTGTCCATGTTGGGGAGGTTTTTCGGTATTAACAGGGTCGGCGGCCTGTTGGGAGGGAGTCTGGTCTGGTAACCCGCTAGAAGACGCGTGAGCTTTCGCCCACGAGTGAATCTGGTCTGCAGAAGGGAGCATTGTTAGCCAGCTATACAGGAGTGGGGATAATATCTCGGGATAGCTGTAGCTATAGCTTTGAGCCCTGTCTGGATACTACTTACGCATGTATTTCAGAGAAAATGGACAGATGAAAGAAGGCAACCAGCCTTTGATGATAAAAGAGTAGATGAAGAAAAGAGTGAAGTTGGACACGCGCAGTCTACAACATAAAGGGGGAACATGGAAACTTGGAATGCCCAGGTGGGGCCTCATATTTAGGTAAGGTCTTGGCAGCTTGGCATGGTGATTTCCCAACGCCTTTCCCGTTTTTCCTGTCCCAGCCCTGAAGATCCTCATGAAGACCCTTCCAAGGAATGTTTGACACTTGGAACCTTTGACCAATGAAAATACATTTGCAGCCTCGCATCTCGTATCACCCTACACTATACACCTGGCATGATGTCAACCTTGAAATGTCGCAGGGACTCCATACTCCCGTTATTGGACCTCAATATCCAATTTAATCTAACCAATGACGCGTTCTCCACGAATCTCCCTATAAGGATGCCAAGGTTGAGAGACGGGAAAACTGGGTCTATGGCCGAGCACGTCGACATTATTGGCGAATCATCCTTAGGATCGACCGTTAGGCTGCCATATTCGGGTGTCAGTATTATTAGCGCTGAGATCTTGTTTTCGCTTATTCTCGTCGGGTGCTTGTCACACTTTAGGACAGTGCTTTCCCAAGACTCTGCATCTATGTACGATGTGTGTTGTATGTGCGCGCTGTCGTGCTTCCAATGTTGAGTGATGAAATGGGAATGAAATCATCCGTATATATTTTCGGAACGGCTTGACACATGTCCGACCATCCTAGAGTACAACACCTACATCTCTCGATGTATGGATCTACGTCTGCTGCGCCTCTCGGTGTTTTGGGCGTGGAGTTTCAGCCCCACAACGCCATATCCGCAATTGTGGCTGTGGCTGTGTCACTAGTTGGAAATGGCACAATCTGCCATCCTTGGATGTTACGGGTGTTTTCTCGAATCTGACTCACTGGGTGATACCCTGTAACAATTGCAGAATCACCGGTCCTGCACGTACGGAATCATAATGAGTGACTCTAGGTATCCTGAGCGCGAGGCTTTGGGAACAGAATGCATATCATACAGTCTTGGGGTCGCCCATCTACAACGATGTAGATATCAAGAATATGAACAGGGCCTGTTCATTGCTTTTTGAGGTCTTCGACAGCTAAGCGTACGTTTTCACCACACTTCTCTCGAGAAATATTTCGTCAATACCGTCCACGGGTGGTCACAATTGTGGAACATCGGCATTCTGATCAGCATCAATATGTCATTTCTGGGCCACGGAACCTTTTCCAACACGAGAATGTGCTATGTACGAGTCCGCCTGTTTGATTTTGGCAAACAAGGTAGGGAATTGTGGGATGGACGAGTGAATTATTCAATACATTGTTTCTAGCATCAATATATGGTAAGCTAGATATTTCCATCAGCTTCAACGTCTACAAGAGTTTGTACTTCGTAGCCGCGGCGATGCAAATCACCATGAATGCTGCAAAACCACCGACAATGCCAAAAAACCACGTCAGCCCATTGTCTTTCTCGCCCGGGACAGGAACGTTCATTCCCCACAAGCCCGTCACCAGGTGGCACGGCACGAAGATCGTAGCCAGGAGAGTAACCTTACTCAAACCAGAGTTAATAGTCAAACTCAGTCGGAGATTTGTAGCGCTCATCTGGGCTAAATAATTCGCGTGAGAGCGACCAATAATCTCGTCGATGTGGCCAAGTGTCGACAAGGTTGTGACCAAATGATCCTGAACATCGCCAAGATATAGAAGTAGATCACCATCAGGGAAGACAGGGTGCTTATCGGGGGATTGGCAGCGCTTCACGAATCCGTTCAACACATCGACCTTGCCGTTAAGGCAGCGGATAATGTGAGTGATCTTCTTCCGGAGGACGTCGACCTGCGGAATAAGAGCATGTGCGTCGTCGATACGACTGATGAACACCTGATCCTCGATTGCTTCGGACTCGCGCTCCGCATCCCGGACAAATGGCTCGAAGCTGTCGATGATATCGTCTCTACAGATTGGTTAGCCATAAATTCATCAAAGAGGGTGTTGATGAGCAGGAATTTGGTTACACATACATCATTGCATAGCAGACCCAGTCACTAGTCAATATAGTGGGATCATGCATTTTGCGGATCCGCTCTCGCGCCCGAGCCACATGCCCGCAACCACTAGGTGAGAAGGTGACCACGCCATATTGAAAGACAAGAATGTATAATGCAGCCGAGATGGGGATTCCCGGTCGCTCATTCTTGAGTTTGTCGGCCACAAGGGTCTGGAACGAGATCAGGTAATAGTTCTTGTAGACATCGACTTTCTCTCGAGGCTCACGAATGGCAATATCCTCCGCCGTTAGGGGATGGATAGACAAGGCTTGCGAGACGGCATCGACATCTTGTTCAGTGGCGTCGCAGATGTCAATCCACCAAATTGGCTGATTGGGATCTGGACGACTTTTATGCTTCTCCTGGAAGATGTGGTCGATGTTTCCGCTGGGGAAAAGGCCATCCCACGTAGACGAGGCAGTCTCTTGTCGTGTTTTTGACGAAAAGAAACTAAACCGATCAGGCAGCGCCTGGTCGATTTCCAGCTTCTTTTCTTGCTCGGTCTGCATCTTACTGGCTGCGTAGCAGAACAGAGGCGGGTGAAATGGTCGGTACCCTGAATGGTTGATCCGATGCCATCAGATGTTGATGGTCCTTTTGTAGGAAGTGGTGCTCCGTATTCCGAAAAGATCGAACTTCCATGAAGACAGCGAATCTATTCAGCCCATTATAGCTCCTTGAATTGGACTCTCAAGGAGATGGGATTGGAGATCTCGAAGGTGTTGGAGATGACCCAGGGAAAGAGGAATGGGAAAAGAGGAAAGAACCGCTCAACCACGTGAAACCCGTACCAGCCCTACCCGTTAGCCGCATCCACCGGACCTCGGGGTGAGTCAATGTGGAACTGCCTAATTGAAATGATGTACTCGGTGGATTTACATGGATGCACATATCCAATCATCCTGGGATAATGGGGGGACCTTGCGGCCTTCGTTCCGAACTTGCTAGGCACTTACGTTACAGATTCGTCCGAGGTCTATTCTTACCTAATATATTTCAGGATCAGTACGGAGTACATTGGGCAATAATACGTTTCTAGAATGGAGTGGACGAAGGCCTGCACGTTGTATACGTCCATTATCGTCGATCCTATGATCAACAAGATCTTCATACATATAGTTCTGGAAACACCATATCCCCGTAAAGCGAAATAACATGAAAAGTTCAGACTTGTAGCCAAAAACGCCTTCGAAGCACTGTGCTCGCTGCAAAGGGCCAACAATCCCAAACAAAAAGAAGCGTCAATGCATTTCCGTGGACCGGATAGCAGTTTATATTATACAGATGGTATCTTCACACACGTTAGTGATTGAACGTAACCGAGCACACTTAATATGGTCATACCATGCTCTGATCATCTTCAATCTTTGATTTCCGATGGCCGAGACTCCTTTTCATGGTCAAGGCTGTACGACTTCCGCAATCGCGGATATACCAGCCCAAAGAAGACGACGACCGCTAGCAGTATCACAAAGGTAGGCAGAAACATGAAAACGAAGAGGAAGACGCTCAATCCGAGGGTAAAATCCTGCCGACGAGGAAACCGACGGGCCATGATCTCGAGGACCGAGTACATACGGTAGCCAAGCCGTGAATGACTGGTTCAATTTAGATAGCCAGAGAAAGATGGGAATGATCTCATTGCGATCGGCCCGGTCGCGCATGTTACCCCATATATTTATACTCACAGCGATGGAAGCGCCGGATGGGCACCTGAATCCCCGACATTGTGGTTCATGGCACTGTTTTTAGCAAAATCTGTACTTCGTACTCCGTAGCAGTCGTGAATGTTGATGCCTGTGCCCTTGCCGTCATGACTTCAAGTTTTTCTAACCTCCACTCTTGGCGCCAACATTCAGATCCGTTGGAAATTTTTCACCGCAAATCGCCCTCCAAATAGCCAATAAACTGTGGGTTTCCTTAAAATCATTAAAAATCGCGGATGTCGTGCCGAGACGTGCAAAGTGTGTAGGCAACAGCATTTTACTCAACAGTTTCTCCCCCCTGCCAAGGAGATAGAATCCTTGTACTCCGCACTGAGGAAATATCCCGTTTCGAGAATGGTCGAATGGTCCTTTCATTGAATTACCCCGAATTTCTTCCCCTACCAAGGTATGTTGTATGTTCAGCCCTAGCCAATTCCCGCCAATCCAACAACTGCGCCCGAAAGTGGATCCAGCCCTGTACGATCATCCCTTGTAGGATCAACCCTTGGGGTCAGCTGGCACAGTGCAGTTTCATCTCATTTGAATATTTTCTCGAGGTCGCCATGGAAGTTCTCTTGACAAACATGTAAGGGGGTGGGGGGTTAGAGAAATGGCGTTCGGAATACGCGTATTATTGGCAAACTGGATCGTTCAGATTCCCCTCATGGGGCTGAAGCTTGACTTGCGGGTCGGAGTTCGGTGTAATTCAACATTCGAAGTAATTTCGGTGGGTTGTAATCGTATAGGGGACCCGTGGACATCTGGAGGTGGGTTTTGAAAAGAGAAAGCTGTGTGATCAGCAGTTCTCGGGTAAAGATGATCATACTAAGTATTTCCCCTGGAACCAGAATAGAAGCAAATGGAACGATCAATACATAGACTACATATGTACTAGGTAACAGCGTAATGGTGACAAGGCAAACTTCCCCCCACATTTTACAAGGTTCCCTTCCAATTTCTGCAGATGTAACGTCTTTAACCACCTTTAACCTTTTACCTTTGCCTTTTAACTGCTCTTCTCAACAGGCCACACTTAGCCTCCCAACATGTCTTGGCTCGCGAAGTATGGCAACACTGATGAAGATGATAACGATAACCTCGGCGTGGATTGGGTACTACAATACGAGTTTGGAGACATCGGTAAGTGACATGCTTGCATGGGATATCCTTGGCCTTGTGCATATATACTGACGATCATCCAGACCAAGCTCAAGCTATTACAGAGTTTCGAACACTTATCCACGACCTGAACGAGGCTGGTCTTCGGGTTCAGGTTCGTCACGGCCACGGTGAAGCGCTATTAGTTTGCATTCGGGTTCCGCGGGATCATCTCGGGAATTTAGTACACCAGTCAAGGTAAGTGGTAAGTGACATTTGAGTGGTCTTGAATGTCATGAGTCTATTTTTCGGATACCCAATTAACACATCACAGAATTAAAGACTGGCTGTTTGGAATTACCCATACCTTGCCGGATGGCGATGAAACGGCGATCGCTGACGCCGATACACCATCCGAAGAGATCCGTTCGGTATACCACGCCGTCACCTGGCAAAAGAAAATAGGAGGCGCAGGCATCACACCGGGTTTCGGAAAATGGAAGAACGTGACTGCCTCGTTCCCGTTACATGACCAGGAGGCCTGCGCGGAAATGTTACGTCAATGGAATCGAAAAACCGTGTTGACGACTAGCGACCTGGATGCGATTCGAGCCTTATTTGGCGAAAAGGTATTGTTTCAGCTCTGCAGCTCTCTGGTCGGCTATACTGTGATATTGTGACAGATATCTAACTCTGTGCAGGTCGCTTTCTATTACGCGTTTATTCATTGCTATTCGCTATTCCTCGTGGTGCCCGCAGGATTGGGCATCCTTGGATGGCTATATCTAGGTCCATATTCCATTGTATATGGAACTGTACTTTGCGTCTGGTGCATTGTCTTTGTTGAGTACTGGAAGATACGAGAAGCTGATTTAAGTCAAAGGTGGGATGTCAAAGGTGTTGGACGACTGAAGGTGAATCGCAAGCAGTACGTGTGGGAGAAAGAGGTCAAGGACCCAATCAGTGGTCAGGTGAAACATGTTTTCCCAGGCTGGAAGCAGTTCACACGCCAGCTGCTTTTGATTCCCTTTGCTTCCGTTGCGAGCGTGGCCCTCGGAGCCTTGATTGTTGCGTCCTTCGCCTCGGAGGTGTTCATATCCGAGGTTTACGACGGTCCATTCAAGGGGTATCTGGAATTTGTACCGACTGTCCTGTTTTCGCTATCCCTGCCCGCCATAACCTCGTTTCTCACGAGCATCGCAACCCGATTGACAGACTACGAGAACTACCGAACGCAGGATCAATACGATCTTGCCCAGACTCAAAAGAATTTCGTCATGAACTTTATCACCTCTTTCCTCCCCACGATATTGACCGCCTATGTCTATGTTCCCTTCGGCAAACAAATCGTCCCATATCTCGACATCCTTCGAAGAACGGGGTTCAGGGCCGATATCGTCAGTGGGCAGAAGGAATTCGAGGTTGACACAAGCCGATTCCAGCAGGAGGTGATATATCTCTCGATGACAGCTCAAGTACTTAGTTTTGGCGAGGAGATCGTTCTACCATATGTGAAGCATGTCTTGAGGCAGAAGTGGCAAAACTACCGGGATCGAAAGGCGGAATACGGCCGCAAACGGACGCACTCTACAGCAACTGGCTTGTTCTTGGTTGACTCGCCAGAAGAAGCGGCGTTCATGACAAGACTGCGTAGCGAGGCCGGCGCAGAGGAATACCATGTGGAGGAGGATATCATGGAGATGTGTGTGCAGTTTGGCTATCTCGCATTATTTGGAGTTGCCTGGCCACTGGTGCCGCTTGGCTTTCTGCTAAACAACTGGCTGGAGCTGCGAGGTGATTTCTTCAAGCTCACACTTGAGTGCCAACGACCACCACCAATCCGATCGGACTCGATCGGCCCATGTCTGCTGGGGCTGGACCTGTTGGCTTGGCTTGGAACTCTATCCACAGCAGCCATTGTGCATGTCTACCGGGGTCCCATTTCTGAGGTACGGCTCTCCTCGCTTCTATTGACGTTGTTCGTCGCCGAGCAGGTCTACCTGGGGATGCGATTCACTGCCTCTACAGCCCTTGAGAAGATCTTTTCAGACACGATCCGAAGAGAAGAGGCTAGTCGGTATGCAGTGCGCAAGAACTATCTTGCTGCTAGTCTGGCTAGGAGCTCCCCCAGTTCCGGCTCTCATGGTTCGCCGAACGGTCGGACCCGTCACCGGGTACGTTTCAACGAACGAGTTAATGTATACAGCTCGATCGAAAAAGACCCATCGACCGATGATATTCCATGCCCAACCAAAGAGGTGCCGGGGAATGATGTGCTTCGTGGATCCGACCGCGAGGCTCAGTTTTGGAGCGCTCATTCAGGGGACATGGCTAATGCAGGCGTCAAGCTAATTCGCGCATTAAGCACACCCAAAGCAGGGGACGGAGTTAAATCTTCTAAAGAGGCATAGATACCTAGCTAGTCATTTCTCAGCCCTATGTATTTTTAGACAATATTTTTCTTTTCCATTACATTGCTGCCTGGGCATTTCTATGTATAGACAGGCAGATCGCTAGGTTGGCTGTAGCACCTAGTAAATGTAAGCATTAATAGTTGCAGGTGAGGGATCATACTTATGGGGATTAATTTCCACTAGTTTATTTGATGCGTACATATTTAGGTACTCCGTACCGTACAATATTATACTCATAGATGTACATCCGTGGACGGACAATGGTTCCCCAACCAAAGCATATCGTCAGCCCTATAGGGCTACGCCAAGGCGGGTCGATCCACCCGTGAACTTTGAAGACCCCCCCCTGCCCAGGTGGCCTTACCCGCTTGCGTGTCTTTTCCACTTTGTCTCTTTATCTCTTTCACTCTTTCATGCTTTTCCCTGTCTTGCTCTACTCCCTTGCTTTCAAATTTAATTTTCATCTGACCCTCTGAACCTGGTTGTACAAAGCATCGGCATGGATAGCCCGCCCTTGTGAGCTTCTCCTTCCTACGGTCACCCGCATACGACTTTTACAATGGCGGCCCCCACCGCCTCCTCCGACACTTTGATTACTCCTCCTTCTCCTGTCCACATCTCACAGTCAACTCCCAAGCCCACGACAACGGCCATGGACATGGACATACTATCACCGGCCGAGTCACCACCACCCGTGGTCCCGAAACTCATCCGTGAAGCCAGTGACATCACTTGGCAGGAATCCCTGGAATCAAGAAAAGGTCAGGTTGTGCTGGTCCGGCGACGCGGCCGATTCCGTCTACTGCACCAGCAGCAATTCAAAAACAGCTTGCTCGCCGGTGTGGGATACCTCGAGCTAGCTAACGCCGGTGACTTCGCTGCCAACGTCTGGAACCAGATTCCCGTCCCAAGGTTTGCTGCTGTACTCATGGGAATTGGAGGCGTACTGGCCTTGGGGGATGATGTTGGTTGCTATTCATGACTTTCGACTGGGCTGGGTAAATGTCAAGCTGCTGCGAGCGGAGCGGGATCAGCTGTTGCGTCTGCGGCAATACCACAGCAAGAACTCAGAACTAGCTAGGCTCATTGATAGCCGGCTTGGGTGGGTGTGCGTGAAATTGGCACCGAAGTGATTGACCGTATGGTGATGGATGCGTTGATGGGATTCGGCTCGTTGTTGGTCGGCGTTGGCACTTTGATGGCAATTGGCGGTGCCAACCCCCGCGTCTTCAAAGCCAGTAATCTGCTTTCTGGGTATATTGGCAATGGTCTGGCTGCAGTTTTTGGCCTTGTCAATGCCATCTGGTGTGGCTCTCTCCTTCGTCGATTCCATGTGCAGGACGCTGCTGCTTTTGCTCAGGAGCCCAGCGATGATATCCGTCGCCGGCTACATACTCGGTTTCGTCGCTTCCAATGGCATGCTGGTATCAATGGGCTAACTGGTATTGTTGCTGGTGCAGCTTCGATGGTCACTGCTGAGCGTTGGTGGGGATACGTTGTCCTGATCCCGTGTATTATTTCTTTTATCCTATGCAATTATTTCTGGCGAAAAAAGCTGGGCTATGATCGTCCAGTCTTCGCACATACATCAGCAACGGAAATACAGGTGACCTCGCTCATTGAAGACCTGCAATACGTCATTGTAATGCAGCGCGACCTCGCCGATCCTGAACATTCCCTGCCGCAGGCCATTGTCCGACCGGACTCCTTGGAATCCATTCTTCGCTTTATTATCCGTGAAAATATGCTCGAAACTTACTGCGAGTCCCTAGCCCGCGACACAACCACCCGCCATATTCTTGCCGCATTCCCATCTCTGAACGCATCCCCTGGCCAAATCACCATCTCCCTCGACACCCTCTTTCGCCTTCCCCCCAGCCACCTAAAGCTCATCCTAGAGCACGCAAAGCAATTTCTACAAACAACCGGTGTTTGCATCTTCACATATCGTGAACGCCACCTGCTTGAACTTCTGGGTTACGCAATCTGTCAAGATCATCAAAAAGCCACAAGCACCACACAAGATGACATGATAGAGCACACTTAGTATCCCCAACGCCAGATTCTATCACCGTCTTATTGCCTCGCCCGGTGCTCATGAGGTGGAAGCAAAACGGCTGGCGACTGGTCGCTGGTTGTTCCTCATTTTGCGCATATTCGCATTGCATTGCCGGATTCCTTTCGCTATTACCCTAGAAATGCTAGACTTGAACTTTCAGCATACATTTGGTATTCTGTTCCTAATATATTATTGTTTTCATAGACCGACAATTAAATGCATACTGGGAAAGCCTAAATGATCTCTTTTTCAATGCAACGCCGTTGGTCCAAATGGAAGCGGCGAAAGGGATGACAGAGAACACTTGCCAACCTTGGAATTCAACGCCACTGGGCACCCAGCACTAGCAATTCCTATCGGGTGTGTGCCTGCCGTTGGGGATAAGAATGTCTAGTTACCTGCCAGTACGCGGATTGTGGGTAGGTGGCATGATGAACTGACTATATTCCGCCTTGCGCATACGTGGGAGCAAAGTACCAACTGGAAGGAATTTTGATGATAGGGAATACCATTTAGTGAGGTCGGGAACGATGCAGTATGCCCGCAAGGTTATGGTTCCCTGTTTACTCTCGTCGAATAAGAATGTCGGTACTGCCTTCCTGCTCTATTACTCTCGCAGTCCAGATATTACCCAGGATAAATGGAGTCCAAAAGAACGACCAAAGTGCGAACCTTCCAATCTCGCGGGGGGTTCTGGAGAACTTGCCCCCTTTTGTAAATCCCCTGAGTGAAAAGAATAACATTGTAGAGAACATGTATGTTTATGAGTTGAGTTTGATTCCTCTGTCAATATCCGGGTGGATGTAAGTACATGGGTAGAAGCACATCGAAGAATTTTCGCATCAAACCAATGGGACAGTTGAAGTTACCCAAAAAATATTGCTACTTTCCCTAAATAGGCATGCTAAATAAGTGATATATATGTTCTTTATTTATTTTCCTTGTACATATTATCCCAATATCAACGTCAAGCTACGGACCAACTCCTGACTGCATACAGCCTAGAAGCTAAACAGTCCGCTGCGGGCTTTGCCATATGGATAAACTACAAGTGCGGAAATGAACAAACCAACCGTAATGCCAATCGCAACCTGAATCATACCAAACCCTAGACTGAATACAGAAGTACCAGACTGCAAGCCAGCCCCGGGCCCTGAACTCCCACCACCATGACCGACACTTTGACGAATTTCATCCGCGGACTGTACACCCGAGATTAGAGATCCGGTTGCAGCCAGTCCAGATGGCACCAGAACGAAAATGCCAGGCAGAATAGCGGTTGCAGCATGGCCATGCCAGAGCCGACTGTACATGTTTCCCATGATACCTATGACAAACGCGCCGACTGTATTCGCGACCTGGGAGTTCGATCCCAATTTTTTCGTGCTGAAGTAGTTGCTAATGTAGCCCGCCAATGCGATGACAGTCATGGGTGGAAGCTGTTTCCATTTGCCTTGGTTGATGATCAAAAGCCAAACCGTCATGATCGCAACGAATGGGAACCGTTGAACATAGGGATTCTTGAAGGCACCCTTCTCTGGACAGGAGGTTTCGGATACGGCATTCTGGTCTATCAGTCCGTAGATGGTTGTGCCAACGGTAATTCCATATCCAATGAACAGCGAGAAGAGGAGAGCGTAGACCATCCGAATCGAGCCTGCGATGATCTGATGGGACTGGAGTTCCAAGCTACTACAAAGAACAAGGAATCCTGGCAATATCAATGCAATCGAGGATTGCGCGATGGCGGAGAAGCAAAAGAGGTACTGTGGCTTGCCATCCACAACTCCAATGGAGATGGTACCGAAGGCTCGGGCAAGGAAAGACGTCACGACTGTCGATGTCACTTCAAAGACATTCGAATACAACGCCGACCGAGGCGCAGCGACATGTTGCATTAAACCAACAAGTATACCATTGAGGAAAATGATCGGCATGTCAATCGGCCTAGCACTGAAAGCAAAAGGTCCCACAGTTGCAGTGGCCAACCCGTATATAAAGACAACGATGACCTTGTGATACTGAGGCTTCTTCTTGATGATTGAATCAATCTCCTGGATTGCTTCTTCAATGCCAATCACATCATGGATCACATTCTTGTAGATGAGATGTGTGTCCGATAGGCGAGCCAAATCGATCCCCTGGGCTACGCGAACCAGTTTTACCTCCGTCGTGCGGGTAGAAGGGTCATCAAACGACATGACCATGCAGCCAGGTAGATACAGGAATTGGCTATCGACCTCCAATACCTTTGCCGTCATCTGCATGTACTCTTCAAGTCTATGTGTGGGAGCACCGAATAACATCAACGCTCTGCAGAGCTGCATGATATACCGCTGCCGACAGATAATCTCTGCAATGTGCACTGTGACTCGGATTTCATCCTCAAGCCGCATATTGCGACCTCCACCGCCTCCTCCTCCACCACCGCCCCCACCTTCATTGTTGCGGCGCTTCGAGGCTTGTGAGAGGACCTCGCTTGAAACAGGAGTGCTTGCACCACTGAAACTCTCCGCGCCCCCACCAATCAACGTCGAGTTTGACGTATTCCGAGGCTTTTTGTACCATTTCACTGGTTTTCCCTTCTTGGGTACTGGTGTTGGGGCCCCGCTGGGGGCGGATTCTGTGCTGTGGGACGAGTCAGTTGACGTTCGAGACTGATCTCCAGCACCTTGTTGCTGACCACCTTGCAATTTGATCAAGTGCGACAGAATTCCGCCGCCGCCAGAGCGATATCTAAAGTTCGGATCTGCTCCCGGCTCATTCTCTTCATCCTTAAACTCATTGTCGGGGTGAGGATAAGGCTTCCCACGACCTTTGCGGCGTTTTTGGGAGTGATCTTGGGTCAAATCTCGCACCAGACGATGGGCCTCGGAGCTGGTCTCTTTCTGGTGCCGCTGCTTCTCCTCCACGCTTTTATGCTTATCATCTGTCATGTCAGAGAGGGGAACTGCACCGCCGGTCGCCCAGTCCGGGTGATACTTCCCGGATGATAGGTCGTCTCCTTCGATCTGTGGGCGACCTAAACGGTCACCAAATTCCGAGGCTTTCTCCCTGAAATTCCTAGCCACGGCGCGCCATTTATCCCTCATGGATCGTTCTTGGGGAGTCTCAGGCTCCTCCTTCTCATCTTCCCGCGGGTTGTTCTGATCTATCCTTTCAACACCTGGCTTGCCGTCGCCCTCACCCGGATGTGGCTCACGGTCTCGCTGTGGCGTATCTGCAATATCCGCAGACTCATGGGAGTATGGCATTGTTGGTCGATGGGGCTGTCCTTGACTCAGAGCATGATCCCATTCTTCGCGGAGACCTGCTGGCGGCGGGTCATGCCGACCCCCCCTGCACGTAACCCGCATCTGATCGAAATCGAACTCGTGGCGATGGCTCCGCATCTTGTTGACTGTCTTGCGGTGCATCCTGCCAAACTTCGGACGAGGTTGTATTGTCTGGGTCCGAGTCATCGTTGAAGTTGATGGTGGATGCTTCAGACATGAAGGCGATGCGTGGTTCTCACTGCTTCACCAACATCCAGCCTCCGGTTGTTTGGGATCTGATGAGTTTGTGAATAGTAAATATGTTCCCAGTGAAAATTTTCTGAACCGCTCTCACCTAATGTCCTCGGGACTTCCGTGCCAAACTGGGCTATCAGAGTCGCTGGGTGACCTCACGGGGACGTGATTGGGGTGTGCGTGTGAACCATGGTCGGGGCCATCATCAAGGAATTCATTTTTCCGCCAGCAATATAGGAAATCATCAACTCAGTGGGATTCTGAGGCCTTTCCGCCATGAGGTATTGTTTGCGGGTGTCGCCTCATCGGAAATCTATCCCACGCAAATCTCGGATTTGTAGATTCCTCGCCACCCAGCATAGTCACTCATCATGTAATTGCTATAGAAAGATCAAATAGCGGCCTGAAAGAAACAGATTTTGACAATTTGGCCCGCTCGCAATTCCCCTCCTTTGTGAACAAACAACCCTGAACTCCATTTGTAGTTACAATTTGCAAGAACCAGATTTTCCAAAGTTGAACAAGGGACTTACTAAAGCTGGAAATTCTGTATGATATCGTTGTAATTTGTGGTTTGACGAATCCCTTGGTGGGCCCAGGGTTTTTGGATCCTATGCTTGAATATATATCGGCGATTATGGCTAGTCGACAAGTCCAAACGTCGACACAAGACAGATACTTCGGTGGTGGTTTTCGTTCAGCTAAACATACAGGATAAGACCGCTGTAATCTGGACGAAACTTGCATGCAACTGTAAAGCATGGGTTCTTACAGCTGCAACCGAATATATAGACTCTACCTTCCGGGGTAATATTCATGCTGATGAAACTTGGCAGATAAGATTGGCAGGCATCCAGTGTGCCCCAATCATAGAAACATAACGTAACCCAGATAGCGAATAGACATACTTGATGCTGCATAGCTCCCGTTGGTATGGAACTCGATATCAACCTGTGGGCATTTGACGCAATGCAAGGGGTGTCGTGAGAAACTTTGTGCCGAAATTCAACCGATAGCCACGTGGCTCAAACCCTACTAGGGAGCATTGGAGATATGCCAAATGACTCGTATTATAACGATGATTCTGTGTTGACGCCGATTGCAAGTATGTTAGCAAGGCCTTGAGGATGATAGGAATCAAGATATAGCCTTGGACTTCGATCCAGATATATTCAAGGGGCTAAGGACCATGTGGAGAGATACGAGAATATTCATTTTTAGCATTCGCGTTGAAATGGTGTGAGAATATACAGTTCAAGATGAACGCCGAAGTAACACTTTGGGCCATAGCCATATGAGGTTGCAAAGGGTAATTGTGAATATTCACTACTTCACCTATACAGGATGGGAATCATTCAGCATTATAATGTATGGCTGAAATTCCGCCAGATCAACGAAGTTGCCAATACAAGAGAAGTTATATCGACATAACCGCAGTATGTTGCCCAGAAGGTTACGAATCCCGAGTCTTGCAAGGGGCGTCGATCATCCATGGCCCTTTCAACCGGACCATTCAAGGTACACCGAAAGGGTCGATGCACATTCTTCATACAAGGAGATCTCTGTGGGCATTCCAAGATCATCTGCATGGTAACTGTCGGAAAGTCTGACATATGCACAGGGGATCATGTTTATTAGAATCCATTCATCCACTTTTTTTCTTCCCTTACTCTTTTCTACCTACTTGGAGATTGGAGCTTGTGGTTTGTTGTTGATTGAATATGAGGGGTTTCCCTTTTTTGGCTGCAGTGGCAGCCGTGTCTACAGCGTCAGGTGCTATTGTGCCTCTAAACTTGGTGCGCGCGTCTTCATCGCATGTACTTTCATCCACAATCGTCCATGCGAGACCGTCATACGATTACTATGACTACCCGTTTGATTGGGCTCTTGCATCTTCTTTGGCCGGTCTTACCGGTGCACCACCCACTGCTACTGTTCATCAACATGGTACCACGACTTCACCAGGTACAGCAAATACTCTCTCCACAGCTGCGGAATCCCCACCGAAGGCTGTCAATGCTTCTACAGGCACCCCTTCACAAAAGGCGGCTAGTTCCTCTTCGAAGATGATACAACCTACCTGGACAGCAGTTAACACCAATTTGGCGGCCCCAAATACTCTTGCAACAAGTATAAAGACTTCAACTCCATTGCCGAAGACCCACACTCAATCGACCAGAGCCAGTGTTCCGACTCCATTGTACGTGTCATTTCAAGTTTTCATCGGGTCATTGAACGTTAATCAATATGTCTAGACCAATGTCTCAAAAAGACCATTCGCCCGCGACAAAAACCTGTGCTGCCCCTACCGGCAAATCACCGGAGACCTACTGGCTTGACCAGCAGGACCACAACCAACGAGGAGCTGGATTTGCTCCCCTACGCTAAAACGTCGCTATACCCAGTATACCGCAATGTGATGGATTACTCAGTTGTCAATGATGGCAGTGGTAACCAAACCCCGAAACTACAGAAGGCCGTAGACGATGACGGCGCGGGTGGCAGTCGCAAGGGGCATGGTGTCACCCGGTACCCTGCCCTGGTCTACCTTCCAGGAGGCGTTTATCAGCTTGAAAGTACTCTCAACCTGACTGTGGGTACGATAATTGTTGGCAATCCATTGAACCCACCGGTCATCAAGGCTGCGCCAGGGTTCCGTGGCGACTATCTCATCATGGGTATGATTCACACAACGGCAACCCGGAAACTAGCTTTGCAACGTTGGTCAAGAACGTGATCATGGATACGACCGCCCTCAGCCCGGACCGCTACTTCACTGCTCTTCAATGGGGAGTTGCCCAAGGGTCAGGTTTGACAAATGTTAAAATTCGCATGCCAAAATCCTCCACGGGTCACACTGGAATAGATATCAATGCCGGGTCAACGATCGCTGTTACTGATGTGGTAAGTAATCAGAAGCCCAAGGACACGGAAAAAGCAGCCTAACAGAATGTAGCATATTACTGGCGGAGCTATCGGGATCAAGAACTCCAACCAGCAGGTCAACTTCAAGAACATATATTTCCACTCTTGCAGAACAGCTTTCTCCGCGGCAGGTGGGTGGACGGTGCTGCTCCAACAGGCAACCTTTTATAGCTGCGGTACTGGTATCGATATGACTGGCAATGGATTGGGTAGCCTAGTGCTTCTTGATTCCGCTTCCGTGAACTCGGGGCCGGTAATCAGATTCTATGACTCGTCCCATGATTCCGGAAACCGAAATAGCCAGTTCCTCATTCAGAACCTCAAGCACGATACTCCGAATGCTATCGCAGTCGATGCTCACGGCAATGTGGCACTCGCTGCTACCCCTTATGTCGATACGTGGGTCTGGGGTACTGTCGTCCCAGAAACTTACCAGACTGGGGCAAGCTGGGAGACAAAGCGCCCGGCCGCTTTGGTGGTGGGAGACAAATACTTTACGAAGGCCCAACCCACCTACCAAGATTACAGCGCAGCGGATATTGTAAACGTGAAGACCGTGTCTGGACACACAGTGAAAGGTGACGGTAAGACTGATGACACGGAAGCTCTGAACGCTATCTTGGCTCAAAATGCCGACTCGTGCAAGGTGACATACATCCCCTTCGGTGTATATCGAGTGTCAGACACCATCTTTGTCCCAGTCGGAACCCGCATGGTCGGAGAAGCATGGTCTGTCATTTCTGGATATGGTGACAATTTCAAGGATCCCAACAATCCGAGGCCTGTCGTTCAACTTGGAAATCCCGGCGACGTCGGCGTGATTGAAATTCAGGAGATGCGATTCTCCGTCGGCGAAACCCTGCCGGGAGCCAAGATTATTGAAATCAATGCCGCAGGCGACAAACCTGGCGATGTTGGCCTTTGGAACACGATGGGGATGGTGGGCGGGACCGCCGACACTAGTATCTCCAGTGCTTGCACGTCGCAAGACCCCAAGGACTGCATGGCTGCGTTTATGGTACTGCACCTGACCAAGAGCTCGTCCGCATATATTGAGAACTTTTGGGGATGGACTGCCGATCACAACATTGATAGCGAGTCTCTTCTCACTATTATCTCAACCGGTCGCGGAATCTTGGTCGAATCCACCAAGGCCACCTGGCTGACAGGCACCGGTTCTGAGCATCACTGGCTGTATAACTATAACTTCCACAACGCCCAGAACGTCTTTGCGGGTCTTCTACAAACAGAAACACCGTATATGCAAGGTCAGGGCGAGTACCGGGCCGCACCAGCGCCATGGACAGCCGTCGCCAAATACGGTGACCCTGATTTCTCGTGGTGTGCTGCCGATGACCAAAAGTGTCGCACCGCGATAGCTACGAATGTCGATGGCGGATCCAACATCGCGCTGTACAACTCAGCTGCCTGGGCCTTCTTCGACGGGTACTGGAATGGTCTGTATAATGAGCCTTGCAACGGGAACTGCCAAACCAACATGATGCGGGTGACGAATGAACCTCAAAATCTGGTATGGTACTCGATCAGCACACGCATGACGGACGTGATGGTACTCGATGGGAAAAGCAATCCCCGTCAATCGGACCACAAAGGCGGGTGGGAAGGCATCATCCAGGTTTACGGCCAGTTTACAGCGTGATGTTCGGCGTGTTCTGTTTATTGCATCATCATAACTGGACATATGCATTTTGTTAATAATTCAAGTCATAGATAATCATTAACGAAAGGGTCATGCACAAAACAGCCAACCATGTCCCATTAATCACCGAAGCATCTCAATAATAATGTTTATCCCAGCCCAGCATGTTCCATCCTCGGTATTATTCCTGTTTCTTTTTTTTAGCGCGCCGCCACTGCACGTGATTAAGTCGCTGCCTCAGGCGAAATGGCGGATTGATGCTGACCTGCATCGCCCCGGCAACTGAGTCAACCAGTCATGGCTCACTAGGCTGCTTTACTGCCCCTTTACAAGAAAAGGCACTCAGACTTGCTACATGACGCGTCACCCAAACCCTTGGAGCATCCCCAGCCAGCCGAAAATGCCACAAGGGCCGATATCCTTGGAAATTGCGAGTGGGTACATCATTGTTCCAATGATAATGACGGGCGCCGAGACTGGTTTATCCAACGCAAGAGTCGACCCACTGTATCGGTAAAAATCGCTTTCATCTCATTGTCTACTCTGTATGGAGTCCCACTCCACTCATGTAACTTGTGGGCAGTTGATCATCCTCCAAGCCACCCCTTCGGGGCTGATTATGTGTCAAGCCGGGGTCTCCGGTGCGGATCGAGTTGTTGGGACCGCTAAGGCAGCCAAATACCCAAAAAAATTGCCATATGGTGCGAGTGTTTCTTTGCAGGCGGCTGTGTAGCATTGCCCGCGACCACGACAAGCTAAGCTCACGCTAAAACATGCACGTCTACATCTTGCATGTGTCTTCGGGGGAAGGGAGGCGTCGAAACGTCCCAATACTCGTGCCCTCATGATAAAGTGGACCCGAGATGACGATATGGCAGCCCGATACAGTTCTCTTTTCTAACATGGTACAGAGTACAATATACTCCGTACAGTAGTGGAACCTCCGAAACATTGGGCCAAACCTTTGTACCAAGATATACCGCCCTGTATACCGCCTGCCCGGTATATACCTAGGTACTGCCATAAGAAGTGTCGGCCGCGTAGTCTTAGTGATCTTCTTAGGTACCTTGGTAGTCTTCTCTGAGGGATTTTTCATGTGTCTTTTTCAGTGGTCTTTTTTGGCAGTCTCCTTAGGTATATACCTTTGGCTGCTCCATGCTGGACAACATAGGTATATTAAGAGTTTTATACTGGCAGAACCGGCAGAATTTGGAGGTATATCTTGGTACAAATGTTTCGCCCAATATTTCGGAGGTCCCACTTTACTCTGTACTCCATACATAGCCCCCTATCCCTGAACGGACCTTACGATCGACATAAAAATGGCCCTTCACAAGGCTGAGGTGATGTCGCCACTGCCACTCCAGCTGCCTAGCATCCATACAACATACGCAATTAAACCGCGTTGTTTCTATCTATAGAAAAAAATAATGCCAATTTACCAAACATACATAAGGATCAGTTCCCCCACGGATTTCCAAATTTTCATTCCACTTTACTATCTAGATCAGCTACCACCTAGATCACACAAAACCCTCCCAGTCAACCTTCCTATTTTCCAACCATCAAAATGAAGTTCACTCTGATCTCCTCCACCCTCTTCCTGGCCACCGCTGCCATGGCCTCCCCACAAGGGTTTGACGTGAACTCTATCGTCTCCGATGCCGAGGGCATCTACTCAACTGCCGTCAACGGCGGCCAATCCATCGCCTCTGACGCCGAGGGCATCTACTCAACTGCCGTCAGTGGCGGCCAATCCATCGGATCCGACGTCGCCTCAAAGGCCACCTCTATCGCCGACGCTGTGAGCACAGGCGGATCCGCTGCCGTCTCATCCATCAAGAGCGAGGCTTCTGCCGTCGCCAGCGAAGGAAGCTCCATTGGCTCTGAGATCACTAGCCGGGTTGCCACCGCTGTTTCTGCTCAGACTACATTGACTGACTCCGCCGGCTCGGCCACCGCTACCCAGTCCACTACCATAACTAGCACAACATCCACCGGGTCTGCTTCCGGCTCTCCTTCCGGCTCTTCCTCCACCTCTGCCTCTGATAATGCGGCCTTCGCTCGTCCCACTGCTGTCGGCGCTGTTGCTGCTGGTATGGCCGGTGTCCTTGGTGTCATGGTTGCACTATAAAGTATTGATATCTTTGCTCCCTTGATTCTGGATTTGATTCCAGACATGATATCCACTACGCCTTTTCTTCACGACTTTCCTTATATACTTGTTCGTCCCTTTCTTACTCGCATCTGAGAAAGGAGGTCTAATGCTGGCGTTCTTTTGAAGCTGTACATATATACTTTGGTTGTATGACCTACATTTGGTCGATCACTTCGACTATACGAACTCATGGAGCTGGTCATGGTGCCACGACTAATAGGTATGCTTAGGGCTTTTTTTTTAGCCAATTAAACACATTCCCTTACCTGATCTCACGGGCCGGCAACATTTCTCGGGTATATTAAGTGAACAGAGACATGACTTTAAAGTCCAATTAAGAGTAAACAAGGTACCAATAACGGATACAACCTTGTACAAGTTTTACATAGCAAGGAAGATCGAAAGACACAAAAACTCTTCCTCCGCCACAGATATCCCTCTGTAGCGAGCACCTGGAACATTGGGATACCGTAACACCAGATCATTCCGTGCCCGAGAGCATGATATAGTCAACATACGCTGGATCCTTCGGTCTCTCTGGTAGTGTGGATACTAAGAGGCTATCAGGGCTGGGATCTGACGACAGCAGGTTGTGGGAATCCACGTAGCTCACGAATTTGTACCCAGGGTGTGAGAAACTATCCCACAAACAGATAGGCATTGATAAAAGACATAGAGAATATCCCTGAAGGTTAAACACACCTTCGATGGTCACGTCGGAGTCTATTGTTGACAGCGATGCCTGCCACTCTCTGACTTGGCCGCGAACAGTATTCCCAAGAATTGACACGGAAATAAGGGCACGCCAGTAGGTATTCGTGCCTTACTGGTCGTGTTTTCTTCCGTCCACATGTAATCTTCATTGTCAACATGTTGGATGATAATAGATGGTTTGTAACAGTCCATATATTGAGGAGTATAGCGCAGCTTAGTACTTGGGTCATTGGCTTGAGTACAGAGAGCTTCGTGAAGTTGCACAACAGTAACCGGTGCTGGTGACGCAGTGTATAGAAGGTCTGCTAGACGGGTCGTGAAATTATTGTTAACATCATAAGTGGGACCGTTCTGATCAGAAATCTCGTTGCCTGTTGAAAACAGGTACTCCCGCGTGATGGTCATTGTTCTGCAATATTCTTTGCAGGCTGTGGCATGGCTGGAGAAAGTCGCCAGAGTAGGAAGTATCGATGAGAACGAGGACGTCTGACTTCATGCCAAGATAAATGGAAGACCATGGGATTCTAAGGGCGTCAGGCCTGCGGCTTCCACTGAGGGTCGATATCAGTATGCTGAATGAGTGCAATTCAGGGTCCTCTTCGGGGTCCTTACCAGATGTCAAACTTCCGTTCTGTTTCGGATACACCATGGCCAATATAGTGTATTACGAACAAGGTGCCCATATACCAAGTAACTTGGCGGTCCATGTCATATTCAGACGGAGTTCAAAAATTGCCTGACCTATCGCATTCAATGCCTCCTCACGAGATGTTGATGGGATAAGCAAACTAGCCGTTTCAAATCCACATTGTGTCCGAAATGTCTCCAAAAGTGCAGCTTGGGGTTTGGCCAAGTCTAGGTCGTCATTGCTCCAGCGTAGACCAAGAACGACAGCTTTCTTATATGGCCTGTAAGCCTGATGAGGCTTACTATTTATGACTCCTTGGTGCAAGGCTTTAGTGACGCTCTCAAAACTCCTTTCGGGATCACCATAATGAGTGGTCGGGTGACTTGGAGAAGGTTGCTGCCTTTTGGACATTGTGGATACTGAACAAGGACGACAACGGGTTGGAAATGAAGAAAGTGAGAATGATAACATGAGGATATCGCCAGAGTTTAAAGATGGTGAATGATGAATATGACGTAGAAAATACATTTCCTTTTTGTCTGAAGACCGAAACCCCTCCCATTGAACTCAATCGAAACACAACACTGGCTCAAATTAACATAATCTTCTTCATATCTGAAGTGATTGTCCTGCATGAAGACAGCTGACCATATATATGTAGTAAGGACTAACTGGGAGATACGCAGAAGTCAATATGAGGCACCGAATATATCCATGTGCCTTAAAGTCCCAGATGGAGAAGGTATCGAGGGACAAGACCGATTATTGTAAGGGATATACCACAAGGGTCGGGTCGAGAGAAAAGGCATCATTCCTTCTTATGATCGAAAGATCTCGGTTCATTAATAGGAAGGACATAGGGAACCGCGGCTACAATAATATTGTCTGAAGCAGTAGAATCACTCCCATCGACAGTCATCTTGGGTCCGATGTACCATCGCCGTGCGAAAATGAAATAATAAGCCATACGCCCGAACCAGACAAAGTCGTTTATTACGATGATGTAGTTCATGTTCGACACAATGCAAGTAAATTGTTAGCCATCCGATCGACCTTCCACTGTTCAAAAACATACAGGTCGGGCTGGGACCCTCAGTCGGGAACATAGACAAGAGAATACCGAAACTAAGATAGGCAACGGCAACCCAAGCAATGAGCCTGCTGAAACGGCCAGTATAGAACGCCCCAGGAGTGAACCGGTCCTCGCTCCAGACTAAGCGACAGAAAATTGGGGTGCCCTATGATAAATAGTTGCTTGCTACAAATAGCGAGAATAGGGCGTTGGCTGCTTCCGAGTTGATCAGACATAGAGGGCCTAACATAATAGAGACAAGTACTAAGCCACAGATCACGCGCACCGGTTGGTACTGGATGCGCTTACTGACGTGGTAGAAGACCATAGAATAATGGCCAGAGTGAGCTGCCGCGCGTCACTTTCCCAACTGGCAAAGAGATCACAGTCGCTACGACAAGGGCAATTTTGGTATAGATGCAAAATGTTTGGATCTTCGGCATCAGGCGGCCCCCCAAGGAGCCGCATAGCCCGTGGAAGAGAACCAGGCCGACGTAAACAGCATAGATAACGCTGCGCGAGGTGGACCATTCGTCTCCCCATGATATTGAGACGCAGGAGAGGATCACGAGCGCCGGGGTATCTACACAACAAGAGTAAGTGATGTGACCGATGGGAATGGGTATGGGTCGCCCTCACAGTCCACCAAACAGATGCCACCGATTAAACCCAATGTGTTTCTATAGCCGATCAAGAACACAATGAGCTCTTCCACTTCGGTCCGGCGAAATAACGTGTCCACCAATATAGTCCTCCAGCTGTCGGCATTGCAGACGCGAGATCAGCCTAGGTGATGTCAGTGCGATACTTCCACAGAGGGCCCCAACCAACATCCATACCATTGCCAACCCAAGCAACAAGATGAATATGCTCGCTATGAACCATCCCTATTGCATAACTCCAGTCAATCAACAGCGCAACCAGACTCACGGCGATTCGACACCTACCCAGACCATGCCAGCTGGTCCCGCGGGGAGAGAGAACGACAGGGCCGACGCGACTGAGGGTACTAGACCCATGATGCTGGACGCGATTGCGAAACCCTGTGGGATGGAAGACTGCCGAAGTTCCTGCTTGTAGGCCATCTGCGCTGGACAAAGTATTAGCGACCAGTATACCTCACAAAGGGAAGCACGCTACTATACCCAGCAGCTGCACGTCCGCAGCGTCTGCACTTGCATCCGCCACGACCGGTGCGACTGCCTCGGGGTCGACAGGTTGCGGGTTCATCATGAAGACCTCGACTCATGTTGTAGCTGTTCGGATGGGGTTGGCGGGTATAGGTGGTTTAAATGCCAAATGAACTTGGGATCCAAGTTAAGGGATGCGGATTTTGAAACTCATCCTTCAACACCAAAAGTCGAGACTGACCAACCATCTGTGGCGGGCTCCAATAATCGCGGCTTCGTGCAGGAAGCAGGTGGCGCAGAGTGAAAGATTATAGCCCTTGCGGTTTAATTGCAGAGGCGCAATGTGAGACATTCTCGTCGACTTCATGTCTTACGATTGTTTTTCGAATGTTAGCGCTATAAGGATGGCTGATCTGCACGATCCCGAGGCAATTACAGCCAACTGCAGTCTATTGGTTTGCACGAGCTATATGCGTGCAAACTAGGCAAGCTGAGTTTGGTTGAGTTTGCCGACCACCCCAACTCCAGTATTCGATCCATAAGTAGCAGTCATTGTTTTGATATGCTTGCAATGAAATATCCACACTTATTGGTAATGAACTATTCCAGGCCTCATTGCCAGTCTCAATATTGACTCGGAGCACGTACCAACCACAATTCATCCAGGACCTACGTTATATACATAACAAGGAAATTGTTCAGCGCATTCAAGGCTGCCTCGGCTATCGCCATCTAAACGACAATAAAGCACCGTCAAACACGCTCATCGGGCGGGATATCTCTTCTGGGATTTGCAACATTAGCGGTGATGGTATGTTCCGAACCAATCAACGACTCCTTTCTGGCCGCCTCTTCCTCGTTATAATCCTGACCAGGGTTGATCCTCTCCCAGCGCACGAAACAAAGGATTCGATAGAAAGCGGAGGCAAGAAGGGATCCGAGCAAAGGACCGAGCCAATAAATCCAGTGGTATCCGGGAAACGAGCGGTTGATCACATCTGGTCCCAGGGAGCGAGCAGGGTTGAGAGAACCTCCGGTATAATAATCACCTAGTGGGAAGGGTCAGCACGATACGCTATAAAGTAATCTGAAAATGATTGTTACTCACCTATCAGTTCTGCAACAAAGAAAGCCAGACCAATTCCGACTGGAGCTAGATAGGTGGACTTGTGTTTTACCACCGCTAACATTATGATAACAAACACAAGCTGTGCCGTCAAGAACATCTCAATGAAGAGTCCTTGTACAATTGACGCGCCACCGCCGAGTCGGGTCGCGCAGTTTAGCGGGCCCGGAAACAGGGCACTCACCACGCCCGCCGCAGCAATTCCGGCGACCAGTTGCGCAGGAAATACGAACAATCCCCGAAGAGGGGGCATGCCACCAGTAAGGCAGAGAGCAAGTGTAACCTGGTGAAGGTCAGCTACAGATATTCCCGTTTCGATTCCAGTGCGATGATGTACATACAGCCGGGTTGAAGAGACCACCTGTGACTCGGAAGAACGCCCAGACATTGACCGTCAAAGCAAACCCAAAAGAAAGCGCCGAATACATCAAATTAGAAGTATTCGGTGGGGAACCGGGTGGTGGCATGGGCGTATTAGACACCTGCGTGCCCGCGAAAGAAAAGAAAAGAAAAAGGAAAGTCCCCACGAATTCACCCATTAGGCAGAGCAAGTTGTACCGCATCCTGTCTGGGAGCCGCAACATGGGCAGCTGGCCATTTCCACCGGAGCTCTGCGTCCCCTCGAGCGTCGAGGTATCAGACGAGTGGCGTTTCTTGAACAGCATCGCGAGGGATGAGGGAGCTGGAATGAAGAGAACTAACTGAAGTCAGAGTTGACTAATATCTCGTCAGAATGGGACTACCCCAGCCTCTTCTAATATTCATCATTCTTTGTACTTTATAACCGTTGCAAATCGCAGACGTCACTACTCACTACAGGGGCGTCTGCAACTGGGCCATGTGTGGTCGATTAGCGCTTGACTTGACCGCGGCTGAGCTTATTTTATGGCAGTGGTCCTCTTTACCAGGTGCGATGGGATAGGCCCATGTTTATGTCCCCGTATAGAATGGGATAATAGAGTGAGTATTCTGAGTTCGGTGGAGTCAAGAACCGTTGAATGGGGAGCATCCGGACTTCCGCAGACGATTGTGGGGGTCAATTGTCTAGACCTTCCCATACGTCATTCTCAATGGATTGTCCAATGGTCGATAGATATCGGTCTCCTCCGGGTTTTCCTCGAACCCTGTTGTTGGGCTAGCGTCAAGCATCGAGATCTAGATCGTCCGACGGATCTCGCATGAACGCTTTTTTAAGGTTTGACAGCTCGGGATGTACCATTGCTCATACTCAATCCACACATACGTCGGAGTGTTCGCGGATTAGGTTTGCCGACCGAGTGAATCGCCTCAAAGATGGTGAAGGATTGGACCATGATAGGATGTCGGACCTAACCGATGGAGATGATGAATCGTCGATCCAGCAACTCGCATAGCCAGGACGGCTAAAACGGCATCGGCCCTAATCCGGGTAGTTGATATCAATTCATCAATTCGTACAGAGTTCCAACGAAGTACCGAGGCATATCTTCTGCCTGACTCCTAAGGTCACCTGGCAGCTTTAGCAGGCCCCGGGCCAAACGTGAAGAGTAGGTAATCCAATCGTCAAGTCAGGCAGCCCCGACCGCATGGACCGGCAGAAACCGGGCCGTTTGGCGCCGACGAGATTCTCGCGCGTGGCGTGACCGTGTGCGACGACACAATGTGCAGGATGGTGTGCACACACATAGAGACCGGGGGCGGGGCGGGAGGGGCCTCATCGACATGGATATTTGTCTCTATTTTGGGGAAGCATTTCCTTAGACGAGTTGCAAGATGTTCTGCCAAATCATGGGAAGCGGTGAGGCGGAAGAGCAGAGTCCGCCTTCAGGAAGATATCCAATAGGAAATTGAGTTATTCCTGGAGATTTCTAAGGTTACAACGAACAGCTGGTATGATCTATTGGAACTCAATACTTCTGTCCTCCAGGGCTGTTCCCTTGAAGAGTTGTCATCCTAGTTCCGACGACGGGGGTTGGATCGACACGTAGGGGGTGGGTCGGATCCTACTCTATCATATATAAATACATCATGTAGTTATTCTTATTCAAATATACTCTGTACTCCGTAGAGTTCAGGAACGGAACTTAGAACATGCGACGCAAATTTACTGACAAGTTATAAGTTGCAAGTTGCGAAAATAGACCGAGATAATCCCTTTCTGTCCCTCCGCGGAGCTCTCCGCGGAGATATCTTCGCTGCGGCACTGAAAATACTCAGCGATCATGCCAGACGCCTTCCGAATTTTCCAAAACCCGTTGACGTTCTAGCGATCCGGTTACGGTGGAGATGGGCAACTAGACAACCAACCAAACGCAACCGGTTTCTTATTACTCGAATATTCCGACTTCTTATATTTAAGCCCCTACCCCGGTCATTGAACAGTCCAGACATCGACCAAACAATTTCTTTCCTCAATTGCCCAAATAAAACTGATCCATTCATCATGGGTTCCAATCCGGGAATGACCCCGGACCAAATTGCGCTCATTAAGGCGACGGTGCCCGTTCTCGTGGAACATGGCAACACCATCACGACTGTCTTTTATCGCAACATGCTTGCCGCCCATCCGGAGCTGAACACCGTGTTCAACACTGCCAACCAGGTCAATGGCCATCAACCTCGCGCGTTGGCCGGTGCACTCTACGCATATGCATCGCATATCGATGATCTCGCCGCACTTGGCTCCGCGGTTGAGTTGATCTGCAACAAACATGCCTCTTTGTATATCAAGCCCGACGATTACAAGATCGTTGGCAAGTACCTTCTCGAAGCCATGGCGGAAGTCCTCGGCGCGGCTTTGACCCCAGAGATCCACGACGCATGGGCTACGGCCTACTGGCAGCTCGCAGATATCATGATCGGCCGCGAAAAGCAGATTTACGAACAGGCCGAGGGTTGGACTGACTGGAGAGACTTCAAGATTGTGAACAAAGTCAAGGAATCCGAGGAAATCACCTCATTTTATCTCGCCCCCGTTGATGAAAAACCGCTGCCGGCTTTCCAGCCTGGCCAGTACATCTCCATCCAAACCTACGTCCCAGCTCTCCAGTACCCGCAGGCCAGGCAGTACTCACTCAGCGACCAGCCGAAGCCGGACTACTATCGCATCAGTGTGAAGAGAGAACTAGGCCTCAGCCCTGCCGCTCCAGGTGCTGCCGCCCATCCGGGTTACATCTCGAATGTGCTACACGACACATTCAACATTGGCGACAAACTCAAGGTGTCGCACCCCTGCGGCGACTTTTTCCTTGCCCCTGCTGACTCAGAAACCGGTAATCCGATCGTGTTGATCTCTGCTGGCGTGGGCCTAACGCCACTGACCTCGATGCTCAACACATTGATTTCCAAGTCGCCCGCGACGCGCAAAGTCCACTTTATCCATGGGGCACGTTCATCGGGCGCGCGTGCTTTCAAAAAGCACATCTCCGAGCTTCCAAAGCAATTCCCCTCCATCCATACGACGTTCTTTACGAGCCATCCCTCCGAGGGAGAGACAGAAGGCGTGGACTACGACCATGTCGGGCGGGTGGACTTGACCAAGTTGAAGGATCAGGACTTGTTCCTTGATGATGCCAAGACTGATTACTATATTTGTGGACCCGGAAAGTTCATGACCGATATGGAGTCGGCTCTTAAGGCCAAGGGTGTGGGTGCCGATCGCGTCAAGATGGAATTGTTCGGAACCGGAGGTATTCCTCATTGAATACATATGTATGGATCATGATCAAGCCAATTTTGTTTCTTAGTTTTTAAAGTTGGCAGGTATCGGTTTGGCGTTTAGAGGCATATATCTCATCTCTTGAAATTTCAAATTACGATTGACGAATGGAAGAAGTCAAGCTCACTACCCGAGGTTCCAAGGTTCCAAGGTTGGATTACCCATCTGCTGAGCAAGCAAATCAAGCTTAACTACCTAAAGGGGATAATTACACCTAGTTGGGTAGGGATCCATGTACTCCGTACTCCGTACTTGGATTTCCACACAGCGGGGAAGCTTCCAAGGTTAGCGCCCTGGAGCCCTGGGTGTATTAATAATCCTGTCTATTAAAAAGGTAATCGATCGACATCCATGGATCCATAAAGAACTCCATACAGGGTCATTTGATTCGGTCATTGTTGCCATTGACCGAACACTGATTTCCATTTATAAGCATGAAATGTAGGACATAAAAGTTTCCTCTTGAAAATCCTCCCAGTCGAGTGTACCATCAAAGACCTTCCGAACTACAGCCTACCAACTGAGGCGCCCTTCTATCATCCATCCCCTATATCAAAATGGGTGTCAAAATCGGCGTATTCCCCGCCTCTGGGGCCCTTGGATCAAGCATTGTGAACCACCTAGCGAAACTAGTCCCAGTGTCCGACCTGGTTCTGGTTGCCCGATACCCCGAGAAACTGCACGACCTCCAGCAAGCTGGCGCTAAGGTACGGAAGGCCGACTACGATGAGCTATCGACATTAGACACAGCCTTCGAAGGTGTCGATGTCTTGATGCTGATTTCATATGCGTCATTCGAGATAGATCACAGGATCAAGGTAAGGAGAGTCGAGTGAAATTACCCACCCAAGTAGTTCGTCTAACAACGATAACCAGGCGCACCGTTTAGCTATAAATGCGGCCGTCAAGAGCGGTGTCAAGCACATATTCTACTCATCTCTTGGGTTCGGCGGTGATCTAACCGACCACAGCATCGCTCATGTGATGGGTGCCCACATCGAAACAGAGAAGTACCTCTCTTCCCTGCAAGACACGATTTCCCGCACCATAGTCCGCGAGGGTCTGTACACCGAATCTTTCCCAATTTATACTTCGTTCTTCGATCCACAGAATCCAGCGGACGATGTTGCGATCCCTCATCCGGGTTCAGGCCCAGGCGTGGCGTGGGTCAAGCGCGATGAGCTGGGCGAAGCAACCGCCAAGTTGATTGTCTCGTATGTCAATGATCCGACCAGCTTCGAGTATCTGAACAAGGCTGTTCTGCTCTCTGGGTCTCGGGAGATCTCTCTTGCGGAGACGGTTGAGATTATCGGTCGGGCTATTGGGCAACCGCTCAAGATCCGTGAGATCTCTGTCGATGAGTATGTGAATCTTCCTCAGATTGGTGATAAGCATACGTATCATGGGGTTGATCTTTCGAGGGAGTGGGCTACGGCTTGGGAGGCTATCAGGCGGGGTGAGACTGCAGTTGTGTCTCCGGCTCTACGTGAGATCTTGGGACGTGAACCGGAGAACTATGAAACTACTATCAAGGCCTTGATTGGATGAGCATTTGCAGGTTGCTCTGATTCGAATGTGTGTCTCCGTACCAAGGAATTAAATAGATCGTTTTCACCTGAGATCGAACCAAATTGCAGGAAAATCAGCTGATTGAATATCTCTATTCGTCATTTCTATATACTATATGGACTGTTGAATGAAATACCCAGTAGTAGAGGGATCCCACCAAAATGAAAAGCCTCTCCCAAAGCACAAGCAACTCTTATCGACTCAGCATCAAAACCGAGTAGACATTTAGGCGGAGTAGTTCTTCAATTCCTTAACATAGAGCTTCTCACTGCGGTACTCAGCGTTGTGAGCAGCGTACCAGAAGATCTCCTTGACCTTGTTGTCGCCGTAGCCATCAATGGCGAACCAAGCCTTGCCACCATGGGTGAATAGACCCTCCTCATTGACACCGAAGCCAGTGAGGTTGCCGCCCTCGGGGACAGCACCGGAGTGAGGGAGGGTCAGACCGAGGGGCGAGACAGAGTCTTCGACAATGTAGAGGTTCTGGAAAGCGGTAGGAACAGCTTTCTTGGCAGTGTATGAGACGAGGCCGTTGGGGCTGCCGCCACGGACTAGAAAAGGCATATTGGTTAGGAAGTTGAATCGAGGGCATGAAGGTCTGGATGCTTACGGATCAGGATCTCATGAGTGGTGGTGTTGGCACCAATGTAGGCGTTCTGGCCATCGGTCAGGACGGTATTACCGCCCTCAGCGACGAGAGTGAAAGCGTTGGGAAGGTTGGCAGCGCTAATAGCGCCAACGAAGGCAGTGATGGTGGCGAGGGAGAACTTCATTTTGAGTGTGAAATGGACTTGTAGAATAGATTGGTGGTAGACTTACCGAGAAGAACTCGGTTCTTATATACCCGAGAGCTATATCGATTGATGTATAATACCTCGACTCGTTGTCATAAAATTGGGTACGATACTATTTTTAAAAGAGTGGCCATTCTAAAAAACTCAGCCAGTTTTATTGGACGCTCATTTCGCGATATTGAAACATGTCTTGCAACCCCCCCTCAGGACAAAATGATTTACTCCGTATTTCGACAGACATAGCGGTCTAGTCCCGTATCTACAGGATCCTACATATCTGTCAAAGGAGAGAGAAGTCTACGACGCGAGAGACTTGGAGATGCGTGGTTTGTTGAGAAATTGAATTGTCGATGAACCAACTTGCTAGACTACAGATTTCGGGATTTGACAATATCATAATATTAATCTACCACGTCTACCCACCTAATCCTGAGACATTGAATGTCACCCAAATCCCTAACAGGTTCTGCGTCTTCGGTTAAAGCCCGGGTACATACTTGTGCAGTTTCTTTCCGGAAGGAACCTGAGTTCACTAAGCCCCTGTCGATCTTCAGGATTGAGTGGAGAGTCAGTCTGAAACATTACCTTTCTCGACTCCTATCCTATGTACGGAGTAGTGCTAGGTTCCCAATTTAGACTGACTCTATTTTTGAGTCCGGCTATTGCTTGTTGCTGACTATATCCGACCCTAACTCAAAAGTTGTAAGAGTATTGGCCCGAAGGTCCCTGTTTGCAAGAGACTTGTTGAACCCAAAGTATGGCTGATCCAAATTAGGCTCAAATGAGTACAGCCACCATTCTCGAATTTTCTTGCAAGGTTTTCTTCAAATGCTTATTTGGGACCAATGACACCTATATCCGGTTGGACCCCACGAGCCTTTTCTTTAATCCAAACTTTAATCAATACTCCGATTGTATGACATCATATATATTTCGCCTTCCCAGGTAGCAGTACTCGGCAATAATGTGTCGCGGTCCGAAATCGAGCCAAACTTCCACAATAGATATAAACCACAACACACTGAAGCCTTCCACGGTTCATCCGGAAGGCAGTGTGGCTACTACTGCGGCTATATTGGACATATGAACGCAAGTCACGTGCCATTTCTCATCAGGAGCTATGCAATGCACATCTATTACGTAGCTTTAGCCAGGAAAATACTGAGATATATAGAATAACATCTGAGGTATTAGTGGGATATACTTAGATAAGATATATTTGCGCAAGGCAATCTGCCCAGCCCTGGGGATTATCGAAGAACATACCTGACCACGTGACCCATACATCTATCCCTTCGGCTTTTAGTTTTGCTTCACTTACACTCTGCAACCAGGAAATTGCTTGTAAAATATCAGGTTACAAAGCACTCCTCTTGCTCAAATTGACCATGTTGCAGAGAGACACAATTTTATAACCTACATACGCGAAATTTTACACATAGACACAGCTAACAAAGCTAACGCCTGCGCCGACAGCAAATTTGCCCCGAGCATGACCCCAGTCTGCATTCCAGATGCGCTTCCCATTCTCCTTACTGTACGCCATGCAGGGATCAACATCCTCAGTTGGCCAGGATGCCGTGCCTGCCTACTTCGTACCAATGGGGTTTGTCTCGGTCGGGTAACCAGTATCTCATTCGATTATTTCCACGTATTGATAAAATTGTTCGGGCTCGATTTGGTGGGCTTGTCGAAGGCACACTAGACCTCGGCAATAGCGAGGTTTTGCAGACCCCCAGCCGTTCATATTGTTGTTCTGGAGACCTCACGATTGCATTAGCCTTTTGATCAGCTACATGGATTTGGTCAAATATGCGCGCATTGAGCCGCAAATCGATGAATACACTCACCTTGCGACAAGACAATTCGTTTTCCCTGAAATGATCGTAACTCTTGTTCCCGATATATATCAGAGCCTAGGGCGACGCCTCTATTGCTCCATCATGTGCATCACAGCATAATGACCACCTCTTTAACCTCGGATCATCCTACCGCGCGGTCGAGCGCGGTCGAGCTGTACATCGCTTAATGCGGTTGATAATTTACGAAATATAGTAGTGGAAACGAGAACACATTGTACTCCGTACACTGACACGTATTGTAAATCGCAAATTAAAAAGCGGATCACGCATTTAGATGGGTACCCGTAAGTGGGACTTGCTCAACCGTATGATGTCCACGGGTATATCTGATTTGGGAGTTACATCCGAGCGTAAGTTGTGCATCGTTCAGCGGAACTTCCACTAGTCGGATGCAATTTGACTTGCTAACAATTTGCACGAAGAGGCAAGGTCTATCTTTTCTTCTGACAAAAGAACTATAGCAAGAATTGAACACATATTATATACAACACTTATGGTTATCGTAATGACGGACTATCGAGTTTGAGTGGCCTAGGGTCAAGAGCAAGTTTCATCAGAATCGCGTAAACCAACTGGATGTACTTGGCAGTCGGGAAACAGGCGAGAATCAAGCATTGTTACTGTTGTTGATTGTCCATGCCAGGCTCCAGATGTTATAGTTCAAAGATCCGGTGGCATATATAAATTATCCAAGATGGGAAAGTTGCCTTCTGTTGCCTGAGTGCGAGTGAAGTGTAGCCTCACAGTACAAAGACGGCAAAGATTTTATCCTCTATAAATCCGATCCCGGCAGCGCTATTTTGGTCAGGAGCCATCCGAGCGACTGACGAAGATCCAGCCGCCGGGAATCAAGATCTAGGAACGATAGTCGGGACTGGAATCGAGTCAAATCCGTGTATTTTGTGCAGATGACAGGTCTAGCGCCCGTTATTGCTCCACTGGGTTAAGGCGTGCCGGGTGGACTGACCCTCTTCCCATCTTGGAACGAGCCGTCACACAGGGGTAAGGGGTCACCTGCAGTGCACTGAGCTAAGCCTCGGTTGATGACTCGGTACAGGCCTGGAGTGCAAATCTTTTAAGGTTGTGATAGATCTGAGATGTCAAGGGGAGATGCTGGCTATTAGCCACAAAATCTAACGATGCACATCATTGTTTGCAATCGTCAAGAACCGTACCGGAAAGACTTCCCCTTCGAATCTTGGAAGAACAAAAAGTACGATCGGATCGCTCCTCCGCCCCCAGCATCGGGGATTACCAGCAGACGAACCCTCATGCCATAAATGTGGAACTGTTGACCGGAGGCCAAACTGGAACATGGATTCCGTCTACAATTCGTGTGAAGTCTTTGTCACAGGAGCAAGCTTCTCGTATAGACTCGGCGGACATCGGGTTCGAGAGTACAATATAGGGCAAAGGGCAAAGGAAGGAGAGTATCCGAGTCACCCCACTGATCTAAAGGTGCAAGTGGAGTCGTTTTGGGAAGAATTTTGAATAAGCGGGATTTAGCTGTTTCCCTACTGGACAGCACGGAGGCCAGTCGAGGCGGCATATTACGGAACCTTTTGAATACTCCACGTCTAATTCTTACATAGGTACTCCGTACACTTTCTTTATTGTCCAATCCAAGTAATCTTCCAAGGTTGCTTGTTACATCTGAATCCGATATATTTGTTTTATATGTGCTTTTTGAGTGTGAAAATCATGAAAAGAATACAAAACCAAGTTTGCTGATTTTAGTGAGACTGACAAAAGTACTAGACTGATACTTAGACCTCGTGGACTTTGCCACAAGCAGTAGGGTAGAAAACTGACAGCATTACCAAGAGTATGCGTGACCTTTCCAGGGGAAATTATGGAAGTTTTGAGCCTGGAAATTGCATCCCTATTGCGCAAATTATGCCAGTGGTGTTCTCAATTCGGCGGGTTTAACCAGTTTTGGCATGTCAATGTTCATCATCATTACTATTATATGGGTCGGATATGATATCTCAACGTTCCCTTAGCTCTTATACAACTTTCTGCAGAGGCTAATGACGTATATTCTAGTTGCATATATGAAGAGATTCATCCTTCAGGAAAGAGATTGCCTGACAGGGTGGGCGACAGGAGATCGCCAAAGTGTACGTGGCGATGCAAGCAATCAGCAGGATATTCTGTCAAGAAAAGGGTATGACTTTTACCGGATAAGGGTAAAGAATGTAACGATGCAAAGCCGAATAGATGCAGACTCCCTGCGTACATAATTCTAGTCTGTACAATCAACGTGCTTGTTGCTATCCCGGGTTTGGAGGCCTTCCCTGGATTGTTAATGTTAATTTTGCCGCTTTCACGAGGACAGTAACGAATTAATATAGGGCAGCGTATACCCTGGTAAAGCTGCAAAGTACTTCTGGCCATTTTACTTCATGGTCATCTAGTTCGTCACTAGTATGGAGGAACCTCGTTCAGTCCTAGTGGACGAATCGCAAAATGAATGAAGGAAGACTGCAAGGACTGAATGTGAAGAAATAATGATTCCCATGAAAGTACCAAAGTACCTGTCAATTGCCGCTAGTTATAAGTACCAGGCTAAGGCAAAAGATAATTGATGAAACAGGTTAGGTATGTTGTATATAAACTGTGAAGCATACCACTCGGCATTGGCTTCACCCCTACACCTACCACCTAGTACATAGATACACATGTAGTCAGGGCTCAACCTTGGAATTCTATCCATGGATGACCTGCTATGAAATCAGCGAGAGAGAAAAGATTACAAAGATATAGAAAGAAAAACTTGAACGAAAGTTACGAGATGTACAACCTTGGAATTACATAAATTACATAAATTATATTAATTACATAAAACATCGGCTCCGACACTCGCCGGAGTCTTAAGGCCCAGCCCACTTACCCGCGACATCCACTTTTTAACTTCCAACGGTTTCACACGTCAGGTCGGAAAATGTACTCGTCGGAGCCGGCCGTTAAAGATCTTAGGGGTGAACTCGGCTTGATCGCATCGAATAGTGCAAGCGAGTGGAGGGCTAGGCCATTTTCGACAAGGTCTGGTCAAGATCTGACATCACAGGTCAATATCGGCTTCGTACACAGGTGTAATCGTCTGTTCCGGATCACCTTCGTACCCCTGTTTTTTTTCGGGGCACACTCTGGGTTTATATAAATGCCCCGCGACCGAAACCAATCTCCTGTTCCATGATATCTTCAGTTCTGATTTATTTATAAATCCTCGATCCTTCGCCACCCCTTCATTATAGTACTTCTCCCAACTACTATATATTCCAATACCACTGCCTTCGAGGCCAACGTATGATCCAAGATGTGTATCATGGCTTGCAACCGATCCAATGAGATCCCCAACCTCTCCATAGACCAGGGGACCTACCTCAGCCAACACCTGAGTCCTCAGTCTCGACCCGCCGACTTCTTCGACAGACCCGACCCTCTCGCTGCCAACTGGAGCTATGACAGTGCCATTGACCTGTTCTCCGTCAACCCCGCCGATATGGAGCCCGTGTCATTCGACTTCGCCGACAGTCTCACGAATCTTGAGTCCAAGGATCTCTTCAATGACCCATTTGCTGGCTCTGGGATTGGTGGGTTCACCATGCCCGAGGATGCAGCTTCACTATCATCGGTACGTTTCTCTGCCTATCAATGTCTTGACGCAAAGCTAATCTTCCTAAAGGAATTTGAAAGTGACGATCAAACATGGCCATCTGCTGCTGCCCCACAATCCATCGACTCGAACGCGTTCGAGACCCAGCCGACAAAGCAACCTTCAAACTACACCTCTTCTCAACCTCAAGCACAGAACAAGACTCGCTCATCTTCAACAAGATGGTCATCGAGTCCAGAAGTGAAGGAAGAAGAGATTGCTACGCCCCAACCCTCCAAATCCACCACATCCCGCAAGACCCGAAGCTTTTCCCGAGACTCAAACCACTCCTCAACGGGCGGCCAAGACCCTCAAATGCGGAATGCTGCCAAGCGTGCCGCCCATAACATCATCGAGAAGCGCTACCGCACCAATATGAACGCCAAATTTGTTTCCCTCGAGCAGGCCATCTCGCCCTCCGGTGTTCAAAAACATACCAAGGTTGGCGCGGGGTCTCTCAAAAAGTCCGAGATTCTTACCAATGCCCTTGCCTACATCGATGGCATTCAGCAGGAAAACCAGGCCCTGCACAAGGAGATCGCACTACTCAAGCAAAACTTGCTACCTGGTGGAATCTGGCGACACTCCAAAAACCCCCGACTATGATCAGGTGCATGCCGATCATGCCACAGTGATGCTGCCACCTCAAGTATCTTTTTTGTTCTCATGACCGCGACGAGCGTTGTATTCTTAGAGTAGCCGGACAACGTGGTCACGGTCGGCGTTTCGTTCTTTTTTGCTTTGTTTTTCGTTTGTTTCCTTGTGGACTGGTGGAGGCGTTCGGATCAAGTGTTATTTGGGCTCGGATGTGGCCCTCTCTCATCTCAGACATGATTTGATTTTCGGGTCCTGGCGACCACAAAAGTGTTTTGTGACTTGTGATTCCCCTTCATGGACGGGAATACCTCATGGATAGTATCCTAAAGCATTAATATAATTGCCAAGACTCGGATAATTCATTTTGCTCAAACGTTCTCCTTTCGTGATTGTGTGCGGGTATGGCCTGATCCTTCCTAATATGGAAATAGTTGCGCTTGGTGGTCCCATCCAGGTATACATATACAACATATATATACCTGTAAGGTAAGTGCGGTTCCTCTGTCTGTGATGTCTGTGCTGGGCTGACTTGCCACTCTCGGTTAGCAAAGGGAATTCTCTCCAACTCGATGCTCAATGAGTTTGGTATGATGACTTTGCCCCGACCTTCATCCATATCGCCTTCGACATGGTCTTGACCTGCCTCAGGCCACGCTCCGGATAATAGTCAACTTCTTCAACTGCCAGGCTCATATTTAGCGGACATGATCAGTCTTAAAACCAAGTTGAGCAGTGTCGGTATCGCCTTAAGGGGCACCCTTGGCTCTCAGCCCCTGACCTGGGGGAGGGGATAAGATAAGTGATCTAGCATCGGATATTGCCTACAGTGCCGAGCAGGAACTGTGGAGGGGGATGGCGAACGTTGCATTTTTGGCTGGTCAAAGAGCCGGCTGCACTAATTACCTAGGTACAACAGGCAAGCGGAGACCAGAATGATTCCGGAAGCTACCTATCCAACTCTGTGGCCCAATCAGGCATGTCCAGTTCCAATATTCCCCGTTCGGATTAGGCTGCTGTGTCGTGCCTGAATATCACTGCAACCCCTCGTCTGCACGGCTTCCAGCAGACGACTATGCACACTGCCCCGTCTATCACGGATACGCCATAGCGACATTCAAATCGAACCGTTCCGGAGCTCATGGAGCTGTTTCCCAACGGCGCATACTACGGTCTCTTTTTCATTGGCCTACGTCGCCGTGGCTCGGTGTTTTTCTCCTTGTCCTTCCCTTTGTGGAGTTGAGCTGGGCATGTTTTAGCTTTGCGGTCAGATGGATGGCGGAGATCTTACAGCGATGCCCAACTGAGGAGACTCGCCTACCCACCTATCCAGGCGAGCGTTATTTGTTCTCATTACGAAGCAATAATTGGAGAAGTGGCGCCGTTCCCCGGACGAAACTCGAAGCTACTGCTTCGGCGGTGCAAAGTGAATTCTCAATCCGTCGTGCCGGAATTCCCCTTTCGACGGGAACACGCTCACGGATCATACTTGGTCCTCCCACCCGATGCCGGCTGCTGATCATCTGCAGATGTTTCAAGCTGTGGCTTCGAAATCCACATTGATATCAAAATGGCTTCTGCTGGATAAACCATGTCTATCGCGCAAATACGGTATCGACTCCACATAGATACTGTTTAATATCTCATATGGAATACAGATATGCAGCTCTACCGTTACTATTATGGTGCCAATTTACACATCAAAGCATGTTTGATCTCGGACTTGACGCCGCAAACTCTACTGGAGCCGCGCTCTAAACCGCTAATCGTTGATTCTTATCTGCCACGCATGGACTTGCCCTTTTGGGTCAGCCGTCGCCACTGACGGTTGTACTTTGATGTTGATATACAATGCTATTGATTTTTATAAATATCGGAGAATTCGGAGATCATGCGTGCTTCCTGTTGAAATTGGCATTTTCGTTGAATATTCGAGTGATATCCGTCAAGAAGAGGTGTTGAGTTACAACGGTCGGACCTCGTGTAGCACGGAGGTATGGCAATTTGTGATATTTGCGAGCAAGCTGCAAGATACCTTCGTATGATATCCAATTACTTCAACATTAATTCAATGCCAATTATACCCCAGTTCTTATCTGTGGAGTGCATTTGTGGATATTATGGATGGCCCACTCACTGGAGGGAGGTCCTCCCGAAGTCGACTCCCCGCAAAAACCAAGAGAAAAAAAAATCAGATTTCTATTATCAACATCTCCCAGTCCATGACCAATCATTCCGATTCAACCAAAACCTTACTATCAGTTCCACCGCATCATTGGTTACTCTTGATCTCCAGCTTTATCTTGGCCTGGTCAACACGGTTAATCCGTGAGGGGTGTCAACGCGGAATACGCCAGACGCCAGATCTAAGCTATATAGAAATCATCGTTTCTCCCCCTAACGCTTGTCATTGATCTTCAGAAAATGGGCACATTTCCCTTCTGTTTGCCCACTGAATTTATCTATATTGCCTCCGGCTGAATTACCACGGGATGGATCTGGAATCCAATTCGCAACCCCTTAAGCCACCGCTGACGGATCAGAATGTGCAAGATGCGCAGGATCTCGCTGCCCTGGGTCATTCCCAGGCTCTGACGCGAAAATTCGACATGTGGAGCATGCTGGCGCTCGCCTTTTGTGTACTTGGTATGTTTGCGCTTTTTGCCACCCCGATAGCATCTGAATGTGGACTGACATGTCCAAGGAACCTACTCGACCTTCGCCCAGGATCTCAGCAGTGGTCTGACCAATGGCGGTGCTATCACTATCCTCTGGGGTCTGGTGCTGGTCACAGCATGCAATCTCTGTGTTGCGCTCTCCCTGGGCGAGTTGACTAGCAGCATGCCCACCGCCCTCGGTCAGGCCTACTGGGTATATCGACTGTGGAATACACCACTAGGTCGATTCGTCTCATACATGTGTGCATGGATCAATACTTTTGGATGGTGGACCTTGACCGCGTCGCAGGTTGCCTTCATGACTGAATTCCTGCTGGGCATGAAGACTATGTTTGATCCCGAATGGGATGGAGTCAACAAGGGTTGGCTCAATTTTGTTGTATATATTGGGGTGGTCTTCGTGTTGACCGCCATCAACGTTGTCAGCTGCCGTAAGGAGAAGATCCTACCCTGGATTAACAACTTTGTTGGAGTGTGGTTCTTCGGCCTGTTTGTTGTCCTCTCTCTTGTGCTACTTATCTCGGTCGGAACCAAGAGTGGATTGTCGTTCCAGCCCGCTTCGTTCGCTTTTGGAGCCTGGAAGAATGAAACTGGCTGGGGCGACGGTGTGGTATGGTTCACCGGATTGGTACAGGCAGCGTACGGATTGACCGCGTTCGATTCGGTCATTCATATGGTGGAGGAAATCCCTGCGCCTCGGAAGAATGCTCCTCGAGTTATCTGGATGGCTGTTTTGTTCGGTGCCGTGACTGGATTCATTTTCATGGTGGTCTGTCTGTTCTGCATCCAGGATGTGGAGCGTGTCGTCAACGCCAATCTCCCGTTCATGGAGCTTATGATGGAGACGGTTGGACTGAAAGGGGCCGCTGCGCTGATTGCACTGTTCATTTTCAATGGTGTAGGTCAAGGAATCAGTATCCTCACCACTGCCTCACGTTTGACCTGGGGCTTTGCCCGCGATGGCGGCGTGCCTTTCAGCAAGTACTTCAGCCACGTCGACCCTGTGTGGCAAGTTCCTGCCCGCGCTCTCTGGGGTCAGGCCGTCGTTATAGGTATCGTCGGTATCCTATACCTGTTCGCCAACACTGTACTCGAGGCGATTCTCAGCGTCAGCACTATCGCCCTGACTGTCTCCTACGCCATGCCAATTCTTGCCTTGCTCATCACTGGCCGTGAGAAATTGCCCCCTGGTCCATTCAAGCTCGGTCGCATTGGTCCATGGTTGAACTGGGTCAGCATCGTCTACTGTATCATCACTACCATTTTCTTCCTGTTCCCTGGCGGTCCTAACCCAGCGCCCAGCGACATGAACTTTGCCATTGCCGTCTTTGGTATCATGTTGGTTATCGCGGTCGCATTCTGGTTCATCCAAGGCAGCCGAACCTATCTCGAGACTGAAGATGCCATCGCCTCAATGGTCTACGCCCACCACCTGGAGATGAATCAGCCAGGTGTTGATGAGTCGGTTCCGGCTGTTCAAGCTCCGGTCGTCGTGGATTCTAAATGATATCGTGGGCTTTAATCTTCAATGTACAGAAGCTATACTATTTTTGGACCGGGTTTGTGTAGGACAGACATGTACATGTTTATTTGTACGTATGCATATGTAACCATAACCTGGTTGGATTTTGTATATCTGGAAGCAGGTTGACGTGTGCCCTCATAGATAAAGAAGACAAGATCGTTGGCTTTAATAGGTACTAGGAATTCTGGATTATCTTTTTGTATCTTTTCGTATTTTGAGGAAAGGAAAAGAGGTCTGCCGGGGAGTCACGAGATAGTGTGGAGTACGGGATTATTTGTTGCAACTCCGGAGAACCTGCCAAGAAGTCTTTCGATATAACCTGGACAACACACAAACACACAAAATCCCTCTGGGATAACGGGAGCTAACGGGAACTACTCTCTTGGCCCCTGATATGTCTCACACAGCGTACCAAGCACTCCGTAGTACGGAGAACGGAGTGTGTTGTACATCTCGTCACCTTGCATTTTTGCCCAGCGTTTTTTTTACTCAAGGCTGAGGTGTCGCATTAAATGATGGAGATCAATCAGCCATATCGGCCTCCATTGCCTAAATTATTACTCTGGCACGGAAATTTGCATCGGCCCCAGCCCCCGACGCACTCCGACGCAGTCCCGACGCACAACGATGCAAACAAAACCGATAGTCATTCGGGTTGCAGTGCTTCAGCGCATTTCAGCGCCACCAAAGCCTAGCGTATGTCCTTCCGAGATTGTCTTTAGATTTTGATGTAATTGCCTAATTGCTTGTCAGCTGGTGCAGCAGTACGGAGTATGGAGTACATCTTCCCCGGCTTGGCAGGGGCCGAG